CACAAACAATGAAAAAACAATATTAAATAATATCGATAATTTTTTATAGAGTTAGACTATAATGAAAAACAGTATAAAACAATATCGATAATTTTTATAGAAGTAATCCAATTTACACATTGTTTTGTGTTGGCCAGTATGCAGGACCGTTGAAGGCCATCGAGGTTCCTGTCCAATTTAACACGTAAGCACGACACGCTTCACATAAATCTAACACATAACTCTGGAAACACCAAATATAACGATAGTCGTAATCTGGGGTGCACATTACTCATTTACAGTGTGGTCTAATCTCTAAAACAAAACAAAAACGGGTCCGTTGGTTAACAAGATGTTTCAAGATGAGTTCGCGCAAATTCCTGGAATCCAATCACTACATGTAACACTTTCATAGTGTCTTGAAACTTTAGGAGATTCCGTATGTTGCAAAGCCACATAATAGGTCGGATACTCTGATGCCATCAGTAAAGAACCTCATTTCCTAACAGTAGGGTGACCATACGTCCTCCTTTTGAAGGATTTGTCCTTCTTTTTCGTTAAAAAGTTTATGTCCTCCAAGGACGCTTTAAAAGCTCAAAATGTCCTCATTTTTTCGAGGGATTAAATATTTAAAAGCTTTTATGACATATTCAACATTGTTTGATGGGTTGAGAAATTTTTAATGTAAGTAATGCATTGAGATACCATATATATATATGTCGATAAATACCTTAATAAACCAAAATGACAAACCTTGGGGTTTTAAGTTATTGCGTGCGCAACACCTCATTTCTAATCTACCAAAAAAATTCAGAAATTGTAGCTCATTTTTACGAACTGGTTGAATGTAGGAAATAAGTGTATATAAATTGATATAGGATCAAGACGTTTCTAGTTTCAATAAGTAATACATTTGTGGCAACAAACATTTCATTAGAGCTTTGCTAAATTATCATCCGTTCTGGACGGCCTCAAAATAACGCTAACTCATAAGGTAGACTATGTTAATTCCGGCAAAAATCTATGAAAAAACGCTTTAATCTGCATTCGAATGCAGTTTGAATTTTGAAAAATGACTGAGCTACCAACATTTTTGAGGTATCATATCATCTTCCCGATCCCAAAACTGCAATTTTTATACAACAAAAGATTATTGCTGTCAGCATCATTGTGACACAACAATGACTATTTCCACACTGCATATTGATATCTAAGGTTACACCACAATGATCATTTTCTACAACCATTCACAAAATTAGGTTCTCTATTGTGTATTAAGTACTAATTGCGCTACTAATTCAGTATTTAAACCGTTGAATGGGGTTTTACTGGAGCTAAGCTCAATAGCGTTTGGGGTTTGGCGGACACGCAGAAGTTTAGAACCACTGCTCTAGGTTAAATGCATACTTGTTTAAAAATCGTGTTGTTCTGCAATTATATTCACGTCATTTCATCTTGTTTTTAGCAATTTTCAAATTTCGAGTTTAGCACTAGAATATGTCAGTAGACCCAGTAAACTATGCCGGAAAGAAAAACCTTTTTTCCTCAGGAACTAAAGCAAAAGTATCCATGCTTCAGATTTAGAACAGATATAATTGATAGTGAAGCGCAGTGCATTATACTTGGGGCTACAGTTGCTCGTTGACAAGACAAGAATGCATTATTGCATTGTCGTCACTTCGTCTATTTTTAATCCTAAAGAATCTAGTAGATATATAATGTATATGTCGGGCACATGTGAAATATTGTTCTGCCAAACGATGTGTCCTCCTTTTCGGGTTTGAACTTATGGCCACCCTACCTAACAGAGGTGCGCGGTTGCGAACAGATACCATATAAAGCAACGAAAACGCGTTTGATCTAAATCTCAGTCGGACATTGGAGAATGAAACGGGGTCACGTGAACAGAGGCGCACCGAGTTAGACAAAAATAGTCAAACTTCAGTGTACTATGTATTTAGTCCAGCGTTTCCCAACCTTTTTTTGGTCGCGGACTATTTTCTCACCGGCGAAAATCTTTGCGGACTCAAGATGCATTCATTGCAACCGTGCTCTGTGTAAAGAAGCAATAAAACCAAACACAACAGAAATTTAACGAATTTCAAAATCGGAAATTGGCCGCAATTACGCGTTCGTTAAAAGAGCCGACTTTTTTGGTGTATAATGTAATTTTCTGTCGCACAGTATTCAATCCATGACAACGACGAGAATTTAAAATGTCATTCTATTTTAATTTAATTGTGTTCATCATGGTAACTCGCGGTTGCGTCGACTTACGACAAGATGAGAGCATTACTCTTTTAAAATTCTACTGCCATCTGCGAACATAATAATGAGAGAATATATTGCCTGATTTTATTCAGCTCTGATACATATTTTTTGCGTTTTTGTGAATTTGTTATCGCTGTAAGAAAAAATTTATACTATCTGCTATAAATTTCCAGAATGTACAACTTAATTTAGTACTTATTAAAAATATATTTAAAGTATATAGATTAGTAAATCGAAAATACATATTCATCGCCTTGAAATTCTCGCGAACAACTTCTGAAGTAATCGTCGCCTATACGTCACTCGTTAAAAGAGCCGACTTTTCAATGATTTTTTCTGTTGCATAAAATATTTAATCCATCCACATGTGTGATTCTTTCAATCTGCGGTTGTGTTGACGAACTAATAGCAATACTACTCAGAAAATACCATGACAAACCCTGGACACGAAAATGCGTGGTAAAGCGCCTGATTATATCTTGTTTTGATTCGTATTTTTGTGACTTCGACATTACTACTGTGCGACAAAACTAATGTGGAGGCAGTAACGCAGAGAATCTTAAAGAAAAATCCTCTGGTACGTATACTACGGTAGCACTGAAATTTTGCGATTTGCAATGTCTAAAAAAGCGTTTTTAATCGGTCGCGGACCGCTTGTCAATTTAGAAAGTTTGGGTTGCCACCATTTACACCTACCAGAAAAATAATTTATTCCTCGTTGTTCGAACTCGCGAGAAACACCTATTACGAATCTATCGAAGCGTGTACAGACTCTTGTTTTCGTCGGAAATCCACAAGTGAGTTGTGAAATCCAATCGTTTGATTAAGCGTCTCGCAAGTGACCTGTCGCGTCACGTGTTACCAAATTTTCGATTAGTAAATGTGCTATTCTAATAGTTGAATATTCGAATATATGCCCAGCCCTACTCAGTAACCAGTAGGCTAATTATTGACGCGATTAATGTCATGTGAATAAATAGACTTTTTATGTTTTTTTGTAAATTCTAACGCAAATCTTAACTTGGCTGATAGTTAATTGAGTTTCGCAAAAACGTTTGCGGCCCGCAGTGAGTTTCTGACTCGTTGCGGACTCATTTAAACGCTCTGCGGACTCATTTGAGACCGCGGACTCGGGTTGGGAAACACTGATTTAGTCGAACGCATGGCTTCGACTCCGCACACGACCCTAGGTTAGATAAAAATAGCAATATTTAAGCCGTTTCACTCGCTCTTCTAAGCAAAATGAAGTCGTATCAATCCCCCTGCCACAGGGAGGATTCAGGCAATAATCTCGCAACGCATTTGCCACTAAAGAATAAAAAAGATTGGGAGCCACCAGTGTAGTAAACAAGAGAGCTAAGCTCAGATATATGGACACGTCACAAGGTGTCGCTATTTTATATTCGGACACATAAAAAACGAATCTCTTGAAGTCCACAGAAATTTTTGAAATAAGTAAAAGTAATAGCCTCCTGGCAAAAAAATCAATCTTTAACCACCGAAAATTTCAAACAATTGGTCCAGTATTCGAAAAGAAAAGCGATTTTTTAATGATAATGACGAAGAAGAATAACAACATAATATTGAAACGGTTGTTATGTACACTAACGTGTCCAATAACTGCAAAGCAATATTTCCTCCAGCCAACATGAAAAAATATCTCCAGGGGGAATTTCTCGCCAACTGCGAAACACTGCATTAGACTCCTGTCGCGGTTTGCCGTAAGCCGTCCGTCCTATGAGTTCTCCTCTCATCAATAATGTATATTAGAATCCTCTTTGCAAGCCTAAATAGCTACATTCCAACAGTGCAACTCTCAAAACCAAAGAAATCACACTTCGCTCATTCAGAGATGACATAATCATACCTAATTGTCTAAAATTTATTTTAATAATAACTAAAATACAACTTCTACAAAAATAAAATCTTTACAGAATTTAACGTGCAAATAAAAGAAAAAGATGAGTGAAAAAAAATTCTTACTATAAATTTTCTAAGGGTATGCATTTCGATCAGAGAGCATGTCATTGCGTTTCTTTTCCAAGTATATTCATGTATTATCACAAACCTAAGGTCTGATTAGATAGAATCTGTGCTTTTTCGTCCGCATTCTGTGTCACAAAGAGAGATTGCCTATGAAGTACATGCACATAGGGTATCCATAAAATTTTAGAATTTTTCAAAATTGCAAAGGGCATCTACCGATACCATATATTGTTTTGGCCCTCACAGATGTATTAAATGAAGTAAAAATATATTGAGAACTGACTTCATAACAAAATTGATATGGTAAAGGGACTTAATGGACACCCTGGTATATGACAGGTTTCAAACCTCATAGCAAATTTTGGCTGAATTTCCAATTTATCTGTTTTAATTTTTATGTACCATGGCATTCAAAAATACATGAATTATCTTGTATAAAAAGTCTCACACAGGGAATGTACCAGAAATATCAAAAGAATAATTAGATTTAGTATTAATAAAATTCATATAAAAATAAGATTCAGTAAAAATGTCGCAAAAAAGGATACATATACTTCTCCTTACATACAAATAATACCGCCTTGAGATTTCAAATTAAATGTGCACCATGAAAAGCATTTATTGGCACCATTTTGACATATGGTCAGAAATTTGGGGAATCAAAATATGAATTGAGATAAAAATGAATCAAAAAAGGACTGAGTGAAAGTGAGAGTCTTGGCAAATATTAATGTACCATATATGCTATTATAAATATATAAATTAAGACACTTGAAAGAGGATTCAACAAAAGCTTAATAAAGAATTGGATCCATCCATCTTGGGAAGCCACCGGTCCTTCCAACCTATAGTAAGTTACTCCTTACCTAACAGTGGCTGTTTGTGCAGAGACTAGTTGAAACCGACCTATACATGGTTATAAATCATAATCGTTTTATTTAATAGGAATTAACAACAAAAAATTAGCACCTGGCCGATGGAAGTGGGCCAGCCACATGGCTAAATAGGTTGCATGGGCCTAAGGCTGGCCCTGATATAGAGTATTACAATGAAAGGACCTTCTGAAGTATGCGCAACAAGATGGCGCACAACCTGAACTCAGGTTGTGTACCAGGTTAGGATTCAGGTTATGCGACATCTTGGTGCGCATACTTCAGGAGTACCCAATAATATATAACAAGTCTCCTGTACATTAATAAAAAACGTCTTTATTACAGAATGGCACACAACGAATATGAAATAAAAAGTTGAATATGTTAAAACAGTACCATGCTTTTCGCCCAGTCATTAGTACAGGTTGGAAATTGGGTAAGCCAATAGCCCAGGTTAAAATAGAAATTACAATCATTTGAACGTCCTAGATAAGCTTGTCTCAACCTTCCTGGAAAAGATTTATATTTATTTTGAGGAAGAAATATTGCTTTTGTTTGAGTGCAGTATTACTTTCATTTCTGACTTATTCAGTATTATTATATTATTTATTTATGCACACATTATAAATTTATTCAAACTGTACCAAATCTCGAGTGTGAATTGCGAGTGTCTCTTGCTGATTATCTTTTAAAGATTGAACAGGGGAAATAGAGTATTTTGCTTCACAATGTATATGAAAAAGATTGAATCACTGAGTTAAACATTCTGGATGACTTGAGACGTTATCAACGCCACTTCTTTTCTGGTATCAGTCCATGTACAGTATAGAATTTAAATTCTATACCATACAAATTAAAAATTTAGCGACAACCAGAACACCACAGGAAGGCAAGAGAATAGAATGAGGATATCGCTTAGCCTTCCAATAATAAAAGCGCTGGGCAAAATGGTAAAAAATTTAAAGTATCGACAAGAACAAAGATCATTATATATTTTCACTCATTCACACCTTTTTAAACTTAAACTGTCGGTTTTATGCTTGATAGGTAAATCCTCTGAGTGTTGACAAGGACCACATTTAATTGTTTAGCGGGTCAGGTTGGGGCCTGCGGGCCGCCTGTAGCACACTCCTGGGGTAGACACTTGAACTTCTCATCTAAATTTCATTCCTCCACGAACTTTTTGGATCTTTTCATCTTGTTTTTTTATCATTCTTTCAGTCACTGAACAAAAAATTGACTATTTTTGAGTAATGGCAAAGTGACCACATACAGCCTAGTGTTTGAATCTTGGGTTTAAATCCCATCCTCACTTCACCCATGGTGTAGTAGGCAATTCCTGAATTAGCAGTAACTTACATATCAGAGTCTGCTTATACAGTTTTTTTTTTCAAAAAAAGGGGCAAAGTACACCCCCCTCTAATGTTGCTATAAATTTATGCTTTCAACCAATCTTTTATCCATAATTGATATATGTTTAACATACTTGTGGCGCAGTCGTTAAAAATCAAACAGTGCTATCTATTTGGCTATCCTGATTGTTACACTGCCAATACTGCACATGATGACATTTCTACTAATGAACATACTTTTATTCTGTTGTTTGAGCTTTCCCCCCATTTTGCTCAAACCTTCCAGTCTGTCTTGCAATTGTCGACATAAATCTTCCGCCGTGTTTGTGATTGCATTCTTCAATGCTGCCGTGTTGGAAGCTGAATAGAAAAGCAATATACTAAAACAGTGTTGTGAGCCCGGGTTAAGTTAATTATCTCGTCAAAAATTGCATGAGTTTCACAGATGCCAGGTTTTAATTCACCTACACATTAGCATTACCTTAAAGCAGTACACAAAATGATAAAGCACCAACAAGACACGACTCAGATAAAGCATGCCAAGTATGACTAAGCAGATAAAATACAGTTGCCAGTAAACAGACAAAATAACGTACAGAATAATCAAACACTCCATCCAAATTTTTCAATTATATACCCGACCAACAAATTTTTCGAAAAGCTCCTGTTGGCCTTTCTTCATTGCTCAAGACAGGCTTCCCCAAACGGACTTTCTCCCTTCCCACGTGGCCATTGAGCGGTCAGTGGGAAGCCACAAGCAAAAGACTGCACTTGGTATCATTAGCCATGGCTACAGTCATTTGCAGAAATACTGACTGTGATTTGTGTAATTATTTGACTGTAATGCATTTATTTTTGTTTTATTGGCTTTTTACGAGTATTAAACATGAGACACAAACTAACAGTTGAAAACGTTCAAATTGTGTCTTGCATTGGCAATAGTTTAAAAAATCTTCAGTGCTAGAAATTTTCCGCATTAGCAATGTGGAAACCCTAATCCTCAATTTATAGGAAAATTGAATGATAGATAGATAGATAATGATTTATTTCCGATACAAGTACATAATACAGTAATCATAAGCAAATAACAATAAGCATAAAAATATATACGGAAGGAGATGGCAAGACTTCCAAGGTCAACCAACCCCTATGGAGTGGAATAGAGCGAGTTACCTGGTATATCACTGGAATTATCACTTGTCCCAGAGTTTGAGTCTGTGTTGTCATGAAGGACCCTGAACAACAAGAAAACACGAACAATAGGATTCATTCCTTACAGTGTTTTTGCATGCTATTCACTCAAAACGAGGTTCACTGGTTTATTAGGAGCGACTATTATCTGCGAGGACTGTAATCGTTCTAGTTCAGCATTGCCTAATCAATTTATTACACAATCAGCCACTGATATGTATGACTGTCGGCCATGGGACACAACTAGGAAATCACTATCCACCGTCCAGTAATTGCGGCAACTGTTTCAGAAGCTGTTGCATGGGAATTTCTGACTTTGAATTACCCCGTTTTTGAAAGCCCTGAGCCCCTGTGTATGGAACCAATATATTCCCGGGAGAACCAGAATCTTTCCTGTTTGGCATTGCTCACCCAACTGGGTAAGGTAGTGGGTTGTAATACCCAGTATCAACACGGATAAGAATGTAAATTTTTTTATATTATTTAGCTCAGAGCAGTGGTCGCTCGCCGATAGAACACAAAGGGTCATATAAATCCAATATTACATATGAATTTTTTGACAAATGTTTTTTTCATACATCAAATGATCATACATTACGTTCATTTCAACTAAACAAATTGAATGCATCTTAATAGATTTATTATGTGGTTAAATCTAACAATTCCAACAAAACTGTTCGGCCTTTTCCATTTTACTATTTGAGCCTCACTCAAAAAAACTTTGCCGATGACCACTGGCTTAAAAGGAAGTTGATGAGACTGAACTGACAGCATGACTTTGACTTAAAAGTACAAGTCATTTGAAAACATCTCCGGGGGCTCCCGAAGTATGCGAACCAAGATGGCGGACATCGGAATGTAATATGTGTACTAGGTTAGGGTTAGGCCATAATTTTAGGTATAAATACTACGGGAGGCTTTTGGCTAGTCTTCGAACTGATAATAGGACTAAAATAAGGAAAACTGGAAAAAAATTATCGCCTAACCCTAACCTGTTACGTTCCGATGTCCGCCATCTTGGTTCGCATACTTCGGGAGCACCCATCTCCGGCTCACAACTTGGGGGGTTGACAATTTCTATTGCGGCTCCCGACTCAAAAAAGTTGTGGAACAAAACTCCGTATGTTAAATCTCAGTATAAAAATATTAAATCTCACTTTTTTGGTGATTTTCTTTGCGGAGAAAACAATTCTCGTTTCAGTCTCCTATCGGGTGGTCTGAGGAGCTCGCTAACAGGTGAAGGATGTCGCTCAATGGCACCACCACTGGTGTGTGTTTCATCCGGTTTATATGGAGATGTAGTGAGAGAATCTGTGAAGATAAAAAATTTGTGGGGCTCCCGAAGTATGCGAACCAAGATGGCGGACATCGGAACGTAACATGGGTAACAGGTTAGGGTTAGGCGATAATTTTTTTCCAATTTTCCTTATTTTAGTCCTATTATCAGTTCGAAGACTAGCCAAGAGCCTCCCGTAGTATTTATACCTAAAATTATGGCCTAACCCTAACCTAGTACACATATTACATTTCGATGTCCGCCATCTTGGTTTGCATTCTTCGGGAGCCCCACAAATTTTTTAAAATTATTAATTGTTTACTTATCAATCCTCTTCGATAATGCTGATTGCAAGGTGTCAATAACTGATTTTGTATCTGTTACTTCTTTCTGCATGTTTTTAGCAACCTTGGCTGCTCTACTGTCAGCATTCACTCTGAATAAGGCACTGTACAATCAGCTACTATAACTAAAGGCGGTGGACATGTGTATTTAGCAGTGTTGCGCAAAAGTGCCTAAACCTCAAGTCACGAGTTGAAACATGGGTCATCATGGTACAAGAGGCTGTTGTTTGCCATACGACTAAGAAGTCTATCTAACAGGATAGATTTGAAATTCGCATTCCAAATCAAATTTTGATACGATGCTTCCTGCACTGAACAAGACTCGGTATAAGCGACCACTGATATGTAATGAACTGCAGTTTTTGAAAGAACCAGGAATCTTTCCAATTCGGCATTACATACCAAAAATACTACACCCTTGGTGTACATGGGATTGAATTCGATATCTCTTTTATGTGATGATTTGTACGCTTTGGACTATGAACAAGGCTCTGTACATGCAGCCATTGATATGTAAGAATATACTATTTTTGAAGGACCAGGATATTTGCCCACCGAATTTTATCACATTCTGGGTGACATGAACATGAAGGCTTAAGGTTTGAATTTTGGTTCTGTAATCTGTGATGCCAACAAGGGAATAATGCTTGAACCAGAAAAGCATTACAATCAAATATAGAAAAAGGCCATAGTACAAAAAATAATCAATCTGTCGTATCCCCTTTCCTCCCCCAGAGGATAAATATGTCACCATTTGTTTCATTTTATGTAAATGAAGGGGAAAATCTGGCAACAGTCATAGTAGTTACCTTTCATAGTAGAGCCCATAGTTGCAGATTGGAGTAGAGACAGGGATCCCATTGAGCTCATTTCTGATGCCATTGTAACCACTGGTAGCTCAGAACTGAAAAAATAAGATACCAGAAAGTAAACTGATGTGCAACACTCATATTTCCAAACACAGGAAGAAACTTGGACAAATATAATCTCTTTCCACAAATAGCAAGTATAATTACAAGTATTCGTAAGATCATAACTTCTTCAGACAATCATGATACAACTGCAAAGATAAAAATCAAAATAACTGATAAATCAAGTTTTCATATTAAAATTGAAAACTATAGAGACGGAAAGACTTCGTCTGTCTCCACTTGGCTGTCTAAGCTAATTGATATGGATTAATTCTGGGTTGGTATATTATAGTTATTATATTATCTTATTCATCACTTCAATACTAACTCTTTCAAGAATCATTGTAGCAACCGCCACATATGACCCAGAGTAGGAAGTATAAAAGGAGAATGCACCTGCAATTCAATATACAATATCTTAGTACTCAACACATAATCGAATCGTTGAAAAAATTTCAAATGCATATAACTAGGAAGATACCTTTCTGAATCAAACTCAATGAGTCTCTCTTCCAAATCCTTAGATTTTCTTGTTTTCTTTTTCACTGGCGATCTTTTCCTAACTGGTGATTTCTCTAATTTCGCGAGATGTTCTTTAACTTCAGAAAGGACCTAAATTATACAGAGATAAGTAGATAAGCTAATGGGTAATTGCTGAATAAAGTTTCTAAGTCAGGTTAAAAAAAAATTGAGGTTTAACTCCCGAATCCAAATTAAGACATTTGACTTTAACACCGAGATTTAAAACAATAAAAAATTTGGACTTCGGCATCAGATCGGCGCTCCAAGAAAATCAAAGTTTAAAGAGTATCTTGTAGTCTTAGTGCTACCTAAACAATAATAACATTACTTGCATTGTACACATACATATCCACCAACACGAAAGCACAAAGAAGAAAAAGTAGTTAGTACCAGAGAGACCCAATGAATATGTCTATGCCATAAAATAATATTAATAATACTAAAAACTACATTGCGAGCTTGTCTAAGATGCTTCTTATTGGGACTATTTCAGAGTCATTTAATAAACAGTCCATTCAACATACCTTAAACATGTCAGAAGTTATAGCATCATTGCTAGCAGGCATTTCTGAGTTACGGGGGATGTTTTCAGCACCTTTGAAAATTATAACTTCATTATTTCGAGGAGGGAGTGAAAAAAATGAAACACAAAGTAGGATATTCCAAAGTATTCCAGATATATGGGCTTCCCTCGTGCAATAGACACGGTAGATGCTGCAGAAATGTCCTGTATCAAGTCACGTAGTTACTTAAAGAACCTGACACATACAAGATGTTAAAAAAGTTACGCAAATAAAAGGTACAATTTTTCGTCATGGCAACGTTAAAAAAGTAACCGTTAAAAAGAGTCAGTCATGAAATGATTAAATGACATTTCACCGTAATTCAATATTGTTAAAAGGTGTCAGTCGGGAAATGTTTTAAGTAGTTTTTCATTTTACCTTCTGTTAATTTTGCATCGCTCTTATGAATCAACTATGTTTTTGTGAAGGGACCAAGACTTAATTTGTATTTCAAAATCTTACCTTTATTTGGTACTTTTGTAGGATTCCCCATCTGGTTTGTGACATCATTCATTGCTGGTTGTGATGTCATATTCATAATGAGTCTGGCCAGCATAGATTGCGCAACATTTGTACCGGGTTGCGCAATAGACGGCTGATATAATGTATTTATTGTAGAAGGTTGGTCAGGTGCTTGGATCTGTAAAATGAAAGATTCAGTAACAAATGTACATGAAATAAGAGTAAATCCAATCAGAAGAAAATACTCAAATATATAGGCGTATACTTTTAATATATGCCTTCTACTCCGAACACGGCTCGGCACAATGCCAGCAAAGATATGTCTAATTGCTAAGCTGGTTGAATGAGGAAGATAATCCCTATCTCAAATAATTAAAGTTTGAAAGCAAATAGCAATTTCTTTGCCCTAATAACAACAAATTATAAGACGAACAGTACACATATTACCTGGGTTCCAGGCCTCTTGTTCATCATTTGTAAATTATGTTGAATATGTAATTGCGCAATATCCTTCTCTTGTTGCGCAATAGTTGCCTGAGCAGCTGAATTTCTTATCGCTGCTTTCTCAAGACCGTTTTCAAGCCTTTCAACAGCAAGTTTGTATCTGTAAATAGAGATCATATATAACAGGGGTGGCCAACCTGTTTTCCACCGTAATCGATAAGAATATTCAAAATAGCTCGCGATCGACTGATCGGTAATAAGGTCATACACAAAAACGAATGAGTACTGAATATGCAGATAACTGTACACACGCATAAAACAAAATTCATTCTGCCAATAAGTTGTATATGTACAGTATTCGTCCTGTTTTTAAAACACGCAGCAGGCGCTGCATGGAACTGGCTCAAAGCAATTTTTAGAGGTATGTTATTGAATTCACTCAACATCAGACGCGATCGACTACTCAAGATGTGGCGATCGACCGGTCGATCGCGAGTGACGTGTCGGCCATGATATATAAGAATATGACGAATTAGTTTCATATTCTATCGCAGTACACAAAACTGTACAACTGTTGAGATATAGTTGAGATATAGTCATTCCCTGCAGACGACCAGTTTCTTGGAGACTCGAGTCAGCTTGAGTGACTCGAGTGAATTGATTTATCTGAACAACTAACAACTTGACACTCAGGTGTGCAGTGAAGTTTAAAATTCGCTGAGACACGGATGATCTACGACTTGAGGTTATGAGGCTTGTAACCACCACTCAGACCTCTGATACAAAGGTATAGGTATGGAAAGAGATGTAATTCCCAACAGCATCCTAAATATATAAATAACGCTCATACCAACTCAGTTGGGTATGACGATGGAAATCATAGCAGCATACTAGTGGTATAGAACCATGCATTCTGAAGGTTAACCCTTTCCAAGCGATTTTTATTTTTTATTAAATAATCGTATTTGCTACGCCGACTTTATGCATTTGTACCCCCACAACTAATCGATCGACTAACGAAAAACTATGATCCTCTGCTGCCCACTGACGGCTCGTTGGAAAGCTTATTTAAAGAGCTTGCCATTGGCGATTTAAAAAAAAAGTTTTTTTTAAAAGGGGTGGTCTGAGTCACAAACCGGATAGAAAAAAGGCATTTTTTTTTCTTGGGTGATGAAACTTCAAACCGTGATAAAAAATAGAAATATTCGCTAAATCCTTTACTGTTACCGCTTCTTGGTTGGCAAACAATAGCATAATATTGCTGTAGCAATTTCGTTATCTAACTCAAAATACTTTGGTAGATGGAAGGGATAATATGTCTTCTATTACCACCCAAAAAACACCGAAATTTGCATAAATTTCCAAAACACTCCCTCGTTCCGCCGCAAACAAAATTCCCATGGTAAACGAACACGAGATTTACCGTCACTTATGTTAATCTCGAAGAAGACTTCTTATCAATAAACTAAAACCCGGAAACACTAGACCAACAGTTTGCGACCGATTGCTAAATAAAACAGTGGAGTACATCAACGTACCCGCCGCAATCTAGCGAGTTTTGTCGTGGGTACGTATACGTGCCCACCGCACGGAAAGGGTTAAGTCCATGAAATACTTTATCATACCCTTTTTCAGTTTTCTTCGATTGCTTCAAATCTGTTTCTAATTTTTGCCGTGTGTTCTCCATTTCATCATATTTTTCTGTCGATATTTCAACCTCTGACTTCAAATTTTTATTTTCTCTTTCCAATTCTGTGAGCCTAAAAAGGTAAGATCATATAACAGGGACAGCAAACTACTGACCCATGGGTTACAAAATAACTCGCAAAGTTTTTGTGTGGCCTTCAATAAGAGTTAGAGATAAATTTTGTCTGGCAGAAATATTCCTTGAAGTAAAGTCATCATGGGTGAAACTTTCCTTCTAAGGGGGACCTTTTGACGAAGTTTTCCTATTACTTGTATTGACACGTTGCTAATGTTTTTATCAAATCATTACTACTACTGTTTACAAATTATACGAGCTCTTAAAATAAAGATTTTCAATTTTCTTGGAAATTAAAAAAAACTTTCAATTTTTCGAGCTGCATTAATTAAAATAATACAGAAAAGATGCAAATTCTTTTTACTGAATTGAATGAATGTTAATATGAATTGAATTCAAATCTTCATATGTGATACTTATTCACATTTTTTTACTCCAAACAAGGGTTTATATAAGGAGATTTAAACCTTTAAAAAACCATTTACTTATCAAGAGTCTTTGATAATTCTGATTGCAAAGTGTCAATGACCGATCTCTTATCTGTCACTTCCTTTTGCATGTTCTCAGCAATCTTTGCTGCTCTGCCATCCACAGATTTAATAGTCTTCAGCGAGGCCTGAAATATACAGTTTGTTAGTCAATGTTTTAAAATAAATCATATTCATGCTCCAAACAAGGCTGTACAGAAAAATCTACTGATATAGGAGCTATTATATTTTTGAAAAACTGAAATTTTTCCTGTTCAGCATCCAATTTATTAGAGCCTGGGCATGAGATTTGAACATACGATGTGTAACCTGCATAACTTTGCTCAGAGACGAGTCTCCTTTACTTCTGAGTGAGGGTCGTAACTTTGCTCAGATATGAGTCTCTTTTACTTCTGAGCGAGGGCCATAACTTAGCTCAGAGATGAGTCTCCTTTACTTCTGAGTGAGGGCCGTAACTTTGCTCAGATATGAATCTCCTTTACTTCTGAGTGAGTGCCTGTAACTTTGCTCACAGATGAGTCTCCTTTACTTCTGAGTGAGGGCCGTAACTTTGCTCAGATATGAGTCTCCTTTACTTCTGAGTGAGGGCCGTAACTTTGCTCAGAGATGAGTCTCCTCTACTTCTGAGTGAGGGCCGTAACTTTGCTCAGCGCAAGTCTCCTTTACTTCTGAGTGAGGGCCGTAACTTTTCTCAGAGATGAGTCTCTTTTACTTCTGAGTGAAGGCTGTAACTTCGCTTAAAGATGAGTTTCCTTTATTTCTGAGTGAGGGCCGTAACTTTGCTCAGATATGAGTCTCCTTTACTTCTGAGTGAGGGCCGTAACTTTGCTCAGAGATGAGTCTCCTTTATTTCTGAGTGAGGGCCGTAACTTTGCTCAGACACAAGTCTCCTTTACTTCTGAGTGAGGGCCATAACTTTTCTCAGAGATGAGTCTCTTTTACTTCTGAGTGAGGGCTGTAACTTCGCTTGAGGATGAGTTTCCTTTATTTCTGAGTGAGGGCCGTAACTTTGCTCAGATATGAGTCTCCTTTACTTCTGAGTGAGGGCCGTAACTTTGCTCAGATATGAGTCTCCTTTACTTCTGAGTGAGGGCCGTAACTTTGCTCAGATACGAGTCTCCTTTACTTCTGAGTGAGGGCCGTAACTTTTCGCAGAGATGAGTCTCTTTTATTTCTGAGTGAGGGCTGTAACTTCGCTTAAAGATGAGTTTCCTTTATTTCTGAGTGAGGGCCGTAACTTAGCTCAGAGATGAGTCTCCTTTAGTTCAGAGCGAGTGCTCAAAACTTTGCTCAGCGATGAGTCTATCTAACTCTTGAGTGGGTGCCTCTACTTTGCTCAGAGATGAGGCTCTATCATTTAAATATTATTGCAGAACAATTCAGAATAGTGGATTATTAGGTTTTGGTGCCAAATGCTCATCATCTCATCCATCTGTTTAAGTCTGAACTTATCTAGGCAGAATTTAGTGAGTGAAAAACAAAGCAATATAATTCTGGCAATAACATCTCACCTCTGCATCTTGTAGGTTTCTCTTCGTGTGTCTTAGTTGTTTCTTTAACTTATCACTCTCACTTTTACTCTTGCTCTCGAAATCTATCTTTTGTCTCTTTATTTCATCCTTCTCCTCCAGAAGAGTTGTGATCTGATGATGTAAATCAAATTTCTAATTATATTGAGAATAGGATATATTATCCAAAGGAGAAGAAGGTGATGGAATTGATATTTAGATAGGGTACTCGGAAGTATGCGCATGGAGATGTCGCACAACCTGAACCCTAACTTTGTGATCAACCTGAGTTCAGGTTGTGCGCCATCTTGGTGCACATACTTCAGGAGATCAAAAAATGTATTTGTGATAGACCGCAGCAAGACTTTCGAATCACTTTAATAATTGTCTTCACTCCTGTTACAACATCCTTGTATTATTTGCATATGGATCCATTGAAGCAAAATCATTGAATATACCTTTAATTTCATTTATTTTTGCTGCGCATGACCCATAATAGAATATAAATTCACAATGTTTTTATCTTCGCCACCTTCAAATGACAAATTCTCCATTCATTACACAAATTCAACATATCCTATAATTTAAAAAAATTAATTTTCATTGAATTCAAAGTATTGAGTTACGCAACGCAACCGCGAGTTACATTACACATAATTCATATGGCATAACATTTTTAATGTTAGGCAGCAATCATGGATGGAGCATTCGTTGCAAAAGAAAAATAATTTTCAGCCAAAAACGAGTGGCTTAATCGCAACGTCGTCTCAGATTGAGACTGAAGCGCTGAATTCAAAATGAAATGTTGAACCCATGGCTGATACCCAGACAGCGATGCCAAAACGCAGCCTAGTCGAGTGACTGTTTCAAAAACCATTTCATGGGATTTCTGAGGCACTGGTTGTGTATTTTTGAAAATCCTGGCTACACACCCTGTTTTGTACCGAAATAATGACGATAAAGCACATTCAACCTACCTGCAATCGAGCATCCCCCAAATCTTTGTCCAATTGCTCTAAATCTCTTTTCAATTCTCGATTCTCATCTTCAGTTATTCTTGCATTTGAATCCACTTTGTTTTTCTCTTGGATTAATTCCCCTGAGAAAATTTTTTTTTTGTTAAATACATTTAGTAGAATTTGGTCAAAGAAAGGCGAGTCACAAGGGATTAGACCAGTGATTCTCAACCTTTTTCTTTCGTGGCCCACTTTCGTTTTATAAAAATTCTGCGGCCCACTAAATTTCTCATGCAAGAAAAAAACTACAAGAAATCCAAGACAACATTTGTTAATATATTTAAAGTAAGTAAACTTGCAGTATTTTGATTACGGTACTTTTGGGTTTCCCCACTGCGGCCCCACAAGGTTCTCCTCAAAATATTTTGCAGCCCTCGGTCTCGCAACCTTGGACAACCCTGTACTAGTCTATTTGTGCGTCAGAATAAATATCTCACTTACCAATCCGATTCTCATAGTCTGACACTGACTTCTCATTCACAGTTAGTTGGTTTCTGATCTGGTCCAGATCTCGACTTTTCTCCTAAGTAAAATAGAAAGTAAAAGTCAATTCCCTTGCCCAGGAATAAGATAGGACAGGGTGGTCCAAACCCAGGCCCAGGGCCACATGTGGCCCGCTGCTTCATTATCTGTGGCCCGCATCACATTCGGAGAGTAATCAAAAAATCGCGTTTTGTGTTGTTTCGTCATAAAATTAATCAGAAAAATCTTTTGACATATTGTCATCACTAATGTCACTGAATTAAATAGTGTTATGGCTAGCAGAGGCAACTAGCGAAATTGAAATTTGAATGATGTGCTTGGCAGTCTGAATTGTTATCTGGCTATCTAACTTTTTGGTCGGGAATATATGCTAACAATATAGAAGTCAGAGAAAACTAAGAATTGAAAGCGGATTCTATTAGCCTAGAATGGCTATGCCTGATAGCTATGTGTTACTGTTTTCACAATAAAAGTGTTTATTTTGTATTGCACTGTTTACCTATTCTTGGCACTATTGTGGCCCGCGAACAATGCAAAAATAATTTTGTGGCCGGCGGAGCCGACAACCTTGGACCACCCTGAGATAGGATATACATATTTATCACAGGAAAGACGATAATACAGCTTGATCATATGGCAAACCATGGCCTCTTGTCTGATTACAAGTTGGTTATGGGATTAGTTAGTCAGTTTGTTTCAGACTCATGAACTTGATGGTGGAGGAATCCGTAACAGACCAGCGGTTATGTCAATCACCCTGTCTTGTTAGAAGGGTTACTCCATAACAAAGATGTAGCTTACATGAAGCAAATATGAAGTTTTACCAGAGTGTTTGGTGCTCCGGATGTATGTGCATTAAGATGGTGCACAACCTGAACCCAAACCAGGTACAATACTATGTTCAGGTTGTGCGTCATCTTGGTGCACATACTTCAGGAGCACCAAGTTTCTTATACAGCGGTCATAGGTTCCACTCATTTTCAAGTCAAGTTAAGACTCGACTCTCCCCGGCACCGCATGATAGTCAACTTACAAATTCACCTCCCTCCCTTCAATAATAAAAAAAAGTCAACAATTTCTTCAAGAAAAGCGAGGTTTTACTTACTTTCACTTCAACGTTCAACCTTGATCTTTCAACTTTGACCTCTTCTATTTCCTTAGCGACTTTCAACGCTTCAGTGGTCATGTTCTCCACACGCAGCTGGAGAGTCATCACAAGTTTCTCTTTTTCATCCAATAAATTTTTCATTTTCTCGTTTTCTGTTTGATTTTTTCTCCATTTTTGAGATATTTCATTGTATTCTTTGTATAACCTTAAAGTGGAGGAGATTATAATAGGTATAGAGCAGTGGTTCTCAAACTTGATTTGGGACCCCTATTCCAAAGACTCTTAGCATCTGTTCTTCTATGAAAATACCTTGCTTTGTCTCATGTCCCCACCTAACCCACAGTGTCTGGAGGGGGGCCAAAGGGGCAGTCGCACCGGGCAGTACGTTATGAGGGTGAGTTTGTTGCTTAGTTTGATAATTTAAATAATAATAATGCAAATATTTTACTTTTACTTAAATTTATTTATTCTCATGTATAACAACATCTATGATTTGTTTAGCCTCCAAATTATTTTTGAAGTTGGGTATAAGGGCAGCATTGTCGAAACTAGCCCCGAGCAGCGGAGAAGTTTGACACGCCACTGCTAACCCAAGGTTCAGAAAGATTTCACAAATAATAATTCTGTATCTATCTTTCATATCAATGGGTACTTGTACAGGGCATTGTTCGGAACAAAAAGTGTGAATAAACGTCATATAGAGAACTGAACTTACTTGGGGGACTCCCGTAGTATGTGAACCAAGATGGCGGACACCAAAATGAAGTATGTGTACCAGGTTAGGCTTAGGCCATAATTTCAGGTACAAATACTACAGGAGTCACTTGGCTAGTCCCCGAACTCATAATAGAAATGAAAAGAGGAAAATTGGAATAAAATTACGGCATAACCCTAATCTGGTACAAATACTACGCTTCGGTGTCCTCCATCTTGGTTCACATACTACGGGAGTACTGATTTACCTTGTATTCTTAGAGTAACTTTGGGTATAGTTATGGGCACTTTTAACATATACTTTTACGGTAATATATTTATACTAAGATGGAATTGAAGACAAAACAGAACTTACTTTTCCCATTTTTCTTCTACATGCTTCCTAGCTTCAGTTGTTTCAGCTAACCTTCTCTCAGCAGTATTGCATTGGCTCGAGATTCTTTCAAGCTAAAAGAAAGTTGACAGCATTAATCCAAGGACTACTTTGGATCTTTGTGGTAAACCTCTCAAAAATGAAAAATTTTCAGACCTTTTTCTTGGTTGTTATGGTCTAATCCTTAGCAACATTGGTCCAATAAAGCCACAAAATCTTATCGTATGTAATCTCGGAGAGAACCACTACTGAGGATTTAACTTTGTTCTTAATATATGAAAATTGGGAGGGTAGATATCCCAGGACAATATTGGCATTTGACAGGATAAATTGCTTATTGTCCTCCATTCTGGAAATGACGAAGCCGGTGGCTATGTTCAAGAATGTACTTCAAAACAAAGATCGTTTGATAAATTACCAAGTCACCTGTCACCTCCAAGTCCAATTATTGAAATTGACAGTTTTCAACAAAGTTGTCTGACTGATAATTTATTCTAACCTGCAAGTCTTTGTCTTGTATTATCTTCAGTGTGTCTGAGCGCTCAACCATGACATCTGATATTTGTCTTTCAGTCGACTCTAAGGTTGCTTTGGTTCTTGACAGCTCGTCCCTTAATCTTGTCATGTCCTCGTTTAATTCAGAGATTTTCCTGTCGGCCTGTTTATTTAAAAGAATAGTAAAAAGACATTTAGGGGACATTACAGTGTTGTATGACATGTGACTCGGGGTATAGAGGCTTCTACTGAACACTTGACTAGTACCTTCCTCAAAGAAAATTTCTTTTAGGAATTCAGATATGAAAATTTAGTCTCTGGCATTCCTATAGCTTTTCACCTCTCGTTTATGAGAAAAAGGGTTCTTTGAGGTATTTTAATTCCTAAAAAAGAATATTTTTTGATAGTTATAATTTTAAACTTTATTTAACTGACTTTCCTGAGCAAAAACAATTTGCAAAAACATTGATTTTAGGATTTTCATATTAATCTAAGAGAAGAAAGTTGATGAGATAGCAGGGGTGAGAAAATTATGGCCAGTGTGCCGGATCTGAGCCACTGAAGTGTTTCATCTGGTCCACGAGCCTGTAGAAATTATGACTATAGTTTTTATGGATAAAAATTTGCGTTGAAAATAACCAATCATAGGCTAAAATATACATATTATCTGCACTTGAATATAATGTGCCACTTGGTACACTCGCTGTTTGTTGTACATTAACTGTTTTGCTAGTTATTTGTAAATGAACTGTTTTTCATTCATAGTATCATATTGAGTTGTGATCATACAGCCCAGTAACCAAGTATATTATCTGTAACCTGCCCACTCAGGGGAGTAAATACCCACCCCTGTCATAAGGCAATCATCTACCAATCAGGATTGAATTTTACAATTAAATTGGAAATTAAGTGCCCTGAATTTCCTTAGGCTAAATTGTTAATAAGTAAAATCCTATTAATTACCTTTGCTCTTTCCACAACTTCAGCTTCTCGTACTTTCTCTACAACCTGGGTTGAAAGTTCAACTTGAAGTCCAGAATTCTTGTCTTTCAAGGAAGCAATTTCTGACGACTTTTCTTCCAGTTGTTGCCTGAGTAAATAAGAAACCAGTTGTTTATTTTTTAACATGCTTAAAATAAAGGCTATATAGAACGGTACTCCCGTAGTATGTGTACCAGGTTAGGGTTAGGCCATAATTTTATTCAGATTTTCCTTATTTTAGTTCTATTGCGTGTGCGGGGACTGTCTGTGTTAGCCAAATGAATACACCCCCTGCGCATAGGTTTCAGTCCCTTTATACAACTTGATGTAAAGCAGGCGAACAAAGTTAGTTACCTCCATATTAGTACACATACTTCTGGAGCGCCTAGAAAACAGTGTAAAAGTAAGTTTCATAACAGATACAGATTATCAAGCTGTGACAACCTGGTGGAGTCTAACATAAAATGAAAAAAGAAATAAGAAAAAAACTATTTTTAATAGAGTCTTGTTACTTATCGATCTTAAGATCGGTAAGTATATTGATAGGTATTTGTATGTATGTCTGTGTGTGTGTGTGTGTGTGTGTCTGTTAGATGAACGCGATATCTCCCGAACGCGTGGTTGAATCTGCTCCAAATTTTGCATGTGCATGCACCTTACCTCGGACCAGACGCCTATCGATTTTGGGTTAATTATGTCGTATAATTAGCGAGTTATTAACTAATTACCGATCTAAGATCGATAAGTCTTCGGTCTCCGACCGATATTCTCGTTTTCTGTTTGTTTGTTTAAAATTAGAAATGGGCAATGCCTTAAAACCTCTGACACATGATGGCAATGGGAAGACAGAACTCTATGACTCAACTTGAGTTGGACTCAAACCACAATTTATTGAATATTTAAATGAATGACTCGGACTTGTACTTCATTAACAGTCAGCGAGACCAAAATCAATAATTCAAGGCATTTCAGACTTACAGGTATATTTTACCGAACAATTAAATAAGACAAAGATTGAGAACCCCAGGACGAAACAATAAATGAAAAATGTTCTTAATAAAATATATTTAATTCTGTAACTGACTCGATTTCGAATGACTCGATTTGAGATTTAGGGAAGTCGACCCAATACTGGTTTTCACCTGATTTCTGTTATTTCTTTACTCAATTCATTTTCCTTAATCCATAAATTTCTTCTCTGCTCTCTTTCTGATTTCAAATCCTCATTCGTCCGAAGAAAATTCTCCTGAGAGTCTGATAATCTGAAATCGAGTTGGAATTTGTTTGAACTTTGAAGAAATAATTTGCAAATTTTTCGATATCAAGCTAGCAACCCGAGTTCTTCCAAGGATGACAATGAGTCCAGCAATTCTCTCGTACATGATTATTTCACAGCAGTGGTTCTCAAACCTTTTTCTGCTCGCGGTGCACTGAGCAAATAAAAAAAATTTGCGGCACACTTGTAAAAAATAAAGTTAGCTTTAAACAAATTCATTCTACAAATGGTAATGCGATGTGTGTGCCTGTTTTGAGAAACAATTAAAACAAGGTTCCGTCGATCCCTTTTTTGCTTTAAATTATGGTCAGAACAGAAAACCCTTTTTAACAAAGCCATGGAGATGCAAATGGGTAGATTATTTTGATGGCTTTTGCACCAATAATTGAATATAATTTGTAAGTAGATGGCCAAAACTCATGTAAACTTGCTTTCCTGTTAGCCTATCTGAGCGCTCAAGTCAACATGGTAGAGAGTGGATGTCTTGTTTACAAATACATTATAACATTTCAACACAATTATAACGTGATAATCACCCTTACTACAACAAGAAGGCAGATGCAATATTATCAGTCTAGCAATGGCAAGAGCCAGTCACCAATACACTGAGAACCATACTTACTGTTTTTTCAATCTTTCGCATTCGCTTTTATAAGTCTCATTTGTCTGCTGCATCGAAGAAAGCTCGTTTTCTGTGTCTAGGAGTTTGGATTGAAGAGATTCCTTGTCATCAAAGTAATGACTTTTCAGCTGAAAATAGAAATTTGAAGTATCATTAAAAGATACACAGAAATAAGGAATTTTAATAAAATTTATTATAAAATAAGTTTATATATAGTTCAATGTTGCTTGGCATTTCAGTGGTTATTCATGACAGAGATAAAATTTCTTTGCTCCTAAGTGAGTACAAATATTGACCTTGCTTTTGAAAAATTTATATAGTCAGTAAAAAGTCACTGATAGATGCGGAAGTACTATTTGTAAAAGGACCATGATTTTCTCATTCTGCAGTGAAATACCCACTTTATAACCAGTAATTCTGAGCCGCAAGTCAGCTCATTTAAGAGTTGGGTCAAGTCACTGGTCATCTGAAATTCAATGCACTTAATTTTCAATTCAAGGGTAAAATTCAATCTTGCTCAGTGGCTGATTGCTTTATGGTTGAGCCATCTCTTCAGCTTTCCACCCTTCTCAAATTAATATGAAAATACTAAAATCATGTCAATCATTGAGTTAAATCTCACTGGTGTTTGTTTGATGATCGGTGAGGCGATGAGCATAAACCAAAGTTTTTTTGAACCAACGAGGCCAATGGGGTTAGTGTTGACCAATTGCACCCCAGTTATAGAAATCTTTTTTCTTGAGTTACTCGCTAAGTAACTTGTCCCCTTTAGCTAAAATGTTAAATTTTTTAGGGCCCTAAGCTATATGTGCACCTACCTCTTCAAATTGATCCGTAATCACAGTAAGTTCTTTTTCAATATCTCTGATTTCTTGATCTTTAGATGATATGACATATTTTTGCTGCTGAAGCTCGTCTTGGAGAGAATATACCTGTGTAAAAATATTATGTATATCAAGGTGAATATAACTCTATGAATATAAAGAATGCAAAGGTGCCTCACAGTTGAAAAAAAGTGAGAAAGTGCCCTGGCCGATTTTAACTAGTTAGGTGCCTTAGCTTTTGTTTTAACTCTTTTAAAAATATTAGGTACTAAAAAAACGTTGTGCCCGGTAAAAAAGGGCAGTCCCCATTGGTAACACATCATTGGACTAACTGTTGACTCCTCATGAAAACACTCGTATGCTAATTGGTTCAGAAGTTATGATGTTAGATATCCTCCTCGAATTTTCATGTTCAGTGTTCCCCGACTCCCAAACTATTTTATTAGTAATCAGAAATTTTTTTTTCACCATCATGAGAATACACTTTCTATGAACAATGAAAAATAACACGTAAAAATGGCATTTCAGGGCGAAGGGGAGGCGAAAAAAACCAATACTAGTGTCGTCAGATGGGGGACACTAGTCTTACTCGGGTATGTAGAGTATGGGATTAGTTAGCCAGTTATCTGTTTCAAAAGTCGTAATAACTAGGGGTCCTCTTGTACATAACCCATGAAATCAAAACCAGCGAACTTGTGCATGGTAATCGAAGGAGCAATGGCACAAGTATACTTAGTGCATGGAATGGTGAACCAACCATTCCTACCTGTTTCATTGCACTGTCAGTGTTTAACTTCTCTTCCAGAACTCGTTCATTCATTTCAATTTTCAATTGTTCAGCAACATCCATTTGTTTTGACGTCAGCATATCAATTTCTCTTCCGTGGTCCTTAAAAATTTGCCATTCATAAAAAAGTTGTGAAAAATAGGTAAATGGTAAGATAAATCCCCAAGGCCTAATGATTTTCCTTACTAAATACATCTATACCAGGGGTTCCCAAACTTTATTGGCCGCGGGCCAAAATTAGAATCGAAAGGATGTTCACGAGCCGGAAGAGTGTAGTGCCTGAAAGTGTGCAACGGTTTAGCTGGGGTTCTGTGGATTCACATTTGACATTTTTTTAAACATGTTTGTTTGATTCATAATGGCGCTTTATGTTGTATTGTTTTATAACTTGAATAGTTCGTCGGCAAAAGGGGACAAATCGCTGGAGTGTGATTCTTTTCAATACAGAAATACGAACGATGCCATTTATCGGAGTAACATCTGTTTTCAGAGTCTTGTATATTATTTGACATCTCTAACCTTTCTTAAACGGCTGATAACTAAATTACTGCACTATGTAATCCTAATACGGTACGTATAATTGAGATACCGGCATAATCGAATTGTTACCATGAACACGAGCTTAAACTGTGATAATGACATAACAATTGGCGGTTTCTAGATTGTAAAAAGGTAGGAACAAAATTTATTTCATTGTTTCACTTAAGCTCGGCGGGCCATTTTAAATCGTAACGCGGGCCGGAGTTGGCCCGCGGTTTGAGAACCCCTGATCTATACATAAGTAAGTTTTTCAACTGAAAAGGAATTTCTTCGGAGGAAGAAATTAGTCGTTTGAAACAGGGCTTCCCAAACTAAGCTCACAACACTTTCCAATATACTAAAATTTACTGTTTTGCGGCCCCTGTTGAGTCATCATTATTATTCAAGCGCGCCACTTCTCTGAAATCTAAATAAATAGGGTATTCTCTCGAAACAAGAGATTTATGTTTTGCACTAGTTTCAATAATTGTGTTTCGAATCAAAAAGCTGAAAAAGCACAACAGATATACTACTTTACGTGAAACTGGTGTACTTTTTGCAACCCCTAAAATCCCTTGCTGGGCCACCTGTTGGGTTGCAACCCCCAATTTGGGAGCCTTGGTTTATTAAGAGGAATTTTTACTTTGTTTCATATTTAGTATTAATTCAAAACATAATCAATAATACATTATTCAAACTGTAAAAAAGCCTGAGTAGGAGTCGCACATATTACAAGATAATAATCCATTAAAGATTGCACAATACATGGTTTTTAATTATAGTGAGCATAACTACTCCACGCATATTCCAAAATCTTTATTTTTATAATCCAGTTGCCAGTTGAATTTACATCCAAATTTTGATTTCCTTTATTATTTATACATGCAGTGTGTTTCATGGGTACTCCCTTAGTATGTGTACCAGGTCGGGTTTAGGTCATGATTTTATTCAGATTTTCCTTATTTCAGTTCTATTACGAGTTCGGGGACTGCCTGTGTTAGCCAAGCAAACATACCCCCTGCCCATAGGTTTCAGTCCAACTTCAACACAACTTGATGTAAAATAGGCGAACAAACACACTTCTGGAGCACCATTTCTTGTTGTGTTTCTATTAATAGATGTTGTTTTGTCTTACAAACTCCTTTGTACAAACAGTTTTGTATACTCTACCCTTACCCCAGTTACCACACTCACCCACTTTCCTTGCACAACTGTTTGTATAAAGAACCACTTAATACGTGTTTGATTTATTGTTTTTTATAATTATCAAAAGGGGTACATGCCACACATTTTTGTTTTCAGGCCAGTATGGTAATCTTGTGCATACAATCGGTCTCCGGTATCGGTAATTGTCAACTCTTTTATACTGCTTTTACAAGATGAATAAACATGCATACATACATTTAATCAATCTGACCACCCTACCTGTTTTATATCGCATAACTCGTTTTCCAGTTGCATAATACTATTTCTCATTGCTTCAATCTCCTCATACATTTCATTCATTGCATGCTCCACATTCTCAGCGAGGAATTCTGGAGAGATTTCTGACAAATGATCGTTATCAGCCACTCTGAAAAATAAGTTAAATAAATGAAACATGCAGAAAGTGCCTGGTTGGCGCATCATGCTAAACTAGTGCCACAGAAACTTTTTGAGCTGCGCCCCCTTTTTAGAATTTGCAAAGTTTCGCTCCCAACCTCAAAACCGAGAATATCGGTCAGAGACCGAAGACTTATCGATCGAAAGTTGGGGGATCCCCAAAACAGCGCTCTTACTCCATAGTGACACCTTGTGTCACATCACTAATTAATTAATAACTCGCTAACTATACGACATAATTCATCCAAAATCAACAGGCTTCTGGTTCGAGATATGATGAATGCACATGCAAATTTGGAGCAGATTCAACCACGCCTTCGTGAGATATAGCGTGCATCTAACAGACAGACAGATAGACAAACAGACCTATCAACCAAAATACCTATCAACATACTTACCAATTTATAAGTAATAAGTCATAGGTAATAGATCGATAAGTAATAACAGATAGTAAGGCGAAAGTATGTTTTATTCATGAAACACGTTGAAAATAAGTGGACGGAACGTAAATATCAAAATAAAGAAAGGTAAATGTCCAAAATAAAGTGGGTAAGATCAAATCTAACAAATAATTTCATTTTTAATTAGCTTCACACCCACTCAAAAAAAATGTCTCTGCTCCTCTTGTAAGGCGTGCCCCACCATTTGAGAACCACTGGTTCAGTATAACGCTTCAACCGCTAGGCTACTGCACCCACAATGAAACAAATTATCTTATATAAAAAATTTGGTAGGCCTACTCCCGTAGTATGTGTACCAGATTAGGGTTAGGACATAATTTTATTCCAATTTTCCTTATTTTGGTTGTTATTATTACAAGTTCGGATTTGTCTGTGTTAGCCAAGTGAATATCCCCCCGCCCATAGTTTTCAGTCCCTTTACACATCTTGATGCAAAGTAGACAAACAAAATTAGTTACCTCCATATTGGTACACACACTTCTGGAGTGCCGAAAACCGTACCTGTATGTTCTTCCTTTTATTTTCTGGTGGGAAGAAAATAACATTTTAATTCTGTCGATCGCTTTGTCATTGGACTGATTCCGCTTCTCTAATAATTGCATTCTATCATTTGCATCGAGTAGTGATTGTTCTTGCATCTGGTTTGCTGCTGCTAACTCTTTTAATGTTGTCTGAAAAAAGAATGTTTTTTAAACAACGCTTATTCATCTTTTTCGATGCAACTGATATTTAACAATATGTTAAAAGCTTCTGGTTTTGGAAAAACAGGAATCTTTCCAGTTTGGCAATGGCTACATAATTTCATACACATTGGGTGATGGGCATGGGATTTGAACAAAAGATATTTAACATGCGATGGGGAAACAGTCAAGCGCTTTAACTGGTAGTCCAAGGGTCGGCGACCTTCAGCATTGGAAGAGCCATTAGGCATCTTTTCCATCACACTCAAACCTACCCTGAGCCGCAACATTTATTCTCATGTCAGTGGCTATTAAAGCTCTCCGAAAACCACTTATGATGTAATAACCTAGTTCTCAGTAAGAAGACAAATGAAATATAAATGATGCAATAATTCAGTCTATGAAGAAATGAACTTGTAAAATGCAAAGAGCAAGTTTGTTTTAATAATAGACTTGCATCACCTTGAAATGCCACCTATTTTCACCACGAGCGTCTTATACTTTGGGAACTGACGTGATGTGCCCCAAGGACAAAGAGCCACATGCTGCTCCGAAGGCGCAGGTTGCCGATCGCTGCGATAGGCCATTACGTCCACAATATTGCAATGTTTTCTTACAGTAAAGCAAACTGGGGTTGGTTAATGTTAGTGAAGATCAAGTCGATCAGTTATTAAAGACTCAAAATTAAATGACTCGGACTAACACTTAACTAAATGTAAGTATAAGTAAATTCAGCGAGTGCTCATTACAATCGATTGCCAAACCAATTTTCACAAACTACAACAACATAAAAAATATCAAACTAACGTATAATTGTACCGACATGGGTTGAATTCAAACTCTCTGCGTCTAGTTCAACAAACCTGTAACTTCTGGATCATTTCCTCTTGCTCTTCCATCTCTGTTTCTCTTAATTGAACAAGGTGTTTCCTGCCAGCAATAGTCTCCTGGATGGCAAAAAAAAAATGAAGTAAAAAAACAGAAAAATGGCTGAGGGCTGAATGTACTTTGTAGTAATATTCAATTGCTTGATATATATCAGTTTCATTTAGTACTTCAAGCCATGACTGCTCTGGCCTGCTCCCATAAAAATCTATTTATTAGAAAATCATCACAGACTGTGAGGAAGTCATAGATTGAAAATCTCTGGTGGCAGCAGAATTTGAACTGAAGATCATGGGGTTCGAGGTAATGTTTACGACCACGCTTGAAAATCTGTCCGAGTGAGAAAAGTGTTTGAGCGGATGCGAAAAGGGAGCATTGTTCCGTCACTTTTTGCATCTTGCTGATTGGCCAATGTCCCGAAGTAAACAAGGAAGTCGATGCTCGGGGAAAGGTCCATTGACCTACAATTACATTGAAATCTAATGCTTTAACCACTAGGCCACCTGATTTTTGATCAAAGTGAAGGTGTAATACCAAAAAAAAGAAGCTCAACCTGTAGTTTATTTTGCAATTCCTCCACAGCCGTTCTGAAATGAACTTTCTGTTTCTCAGTAGTTTCCTGAGATTCTTCAAGTTTTCTGGTCAAGTATTTCACCTGGGTCTGTAATAGAAAGTGTATATTTGGATAACATATACAGAAGATCCAGAACTCATAATGCCATTTAGAGGTTTGGACTTGAATTGACATTTGACCCCGACTTTAGATTTTTCGCTCTGACTTCGCTCGACTGTCCCCCCTCTCCCAGTTCTAAGAAATTTCAATTCCGATAAAAAATCTTTTGCGTATGCAAGCCTTCTTCAATAGACTGTTAAAAACTCTTAGTAAACCTAATTATTTTTGAGTTCCATCAAAAAACTTGATTTATTTTGTGGTCATTATAATTCAGTACAAAATTACAATTGAAGCATGGTATGTATGTCCATATGGTATGTAGGCTACATAATAAACAAGCTGAACTATACTTGATCATAATTTATAATGATAATTTAAATACTGTTCACACTTGGAATTAGCAAAAGCCTACAGGAGTCTGCGGCCCTACCGCAGTTGCATAGGTTACAGTGGCCTCACTGGAATGAACAAATTATTTCAAAAATGCAAAATACACTATGCATGGCCCAGAAAAGGTGGAGATGTAAGGTGTAATACAGGAATTTACACTAAAAACAAGGGTGGGCCAACTGCAGCCGCATAAGTTGCAGTGGCCTCACCGGCATAAATTAATAATTCTAAAAAATGCAACAATCATTAATAAAACACAGAACCTGTGAATCTTCCAATGCCCTTTCTAAGTATTCTGAGGTAGAGGTCCCTTGGTATTGTCTTGGGGGTAGCCGAACACTTGTAACATCTCCATACGGACCCAAAACAGGTGGGTAATTGTTCGAATTATTATTGGTATTCATGTTAGATAAAAAGGCTGGTTTTGGTCTTAAAGAACTTGTGCGAAATTTTACTGTAGTTTGTTTTATTTCATTTTGTAATTCCAAAGTCTTTTTGTTCTGATCGTCAATCTCTTGTCTCAGCTTTGAAACGTCGTTCGAAAATTGTCGAGTTCCTATCGGCTTTCGATCTGAAAGTATTTGTTTAAAATGATTGAGAATTAATCAGAAAATATTGAGCACAAAGATTAAAATGTAAAGAGCAACAAATTATAGAGAGCAAGTGGTACATATTCTCAAACAGTGGGGCACATCCCACAAGGGGGCGTAAACAATTTTTTGAGGGGACGTGACACTAATTAAAAATAAAAATATTTGTTAGACCTGATCTCGCCCACCTCTTTTGGATATTTTCAACGTTTTCAAAAGTTTGAAAACCACTGGTCCAAGTGAAAAGTAGGTGCTACTATAGTGTGGGATGTACTATTACACCTATTTAGCAGAAGGTTTGAAATAAATGACATCATCACAGATGAAAATATGCAGTTTGAGTACCACAATCCTAAGGTTTAAATTAGTTATCAAAATCATTATAACAAGAATGAAGAATAAAATATTAGCAAGATCAAGGAAAGGATTATATATGAGCTTTTCCTTTGTTACCCTGAGATATACACACCCAGTAGCAATGTGTAAACATACAGTGCACGAAGCATGAACAAACGCATGACATTCTTTCAGAAAATGCGTCGAATTATGAACAATAACACATAGATGTATTTCTCACCAATTTTGATATCACAATCAGTTTCAACTGTTCCAAGTCTTCTTCCTTCTTCTAACAATTTCTTTATTGTATCGTCATAATTAAACTTTTTCGAACCTCCCACATCTCGACTCATTTCTTAGGCAAAATAGAACCCTTTACATTTTTAATCAAACAGTCTTAAAATGATAATAATTAGAAGAAGTTACATATTATGATTTATGCAAATAATTCCCAGATAATTTAAGGAATTAGGATAAGGATTTACAAATTCATCCCCGGGGGGGGGAGGAAAGCCAATAAGACGACTTAACCATATGGCGAACCACGGCCTCTCGTCCAATTAACATTCCATGTCTGGTATGGGATTGGTGAGTTATTTGTTTTCAGAAGCATGGACTTGATGGTTGAAGGAGCCGTAACCGACCAGCGGTTACGTGAACCACCCTACGGCGGCGAGGAGTCCAGCAATCCTCTCGCTTATAACCATCCCGCATGGGATTCCAACCTGCGAACCAACGCAGAGTAATTAGAGGTGCGGTGGCGAACGTATTCCTAACGCTCAGCACGATGAGCCACACCGCCGCACGATAAGGATTATTTGACCTTATTCTATAGACTGGGGCAGGATTTCTGAAGCTCTGCCCTCCTAGGGGGCTTTGTAGCGGTCCACAAGCAAAGGCCACGCAGAATAAATAGAGGTGCATTGGCGAGTGTATTAAAGTACCATATTCAGATATTGCTCACGCTTACCGTGATGCGCCACACCGCCGAACCTATTCAGTTAGCCATGGAAAACTCAACGAACTGGGCATTCAGGCATTGCTAAGCCTAAAAAGGTGATAAAATTGTTTAGAAAATCTTCAGAGAAAATTTATGGAATTTGGACAAAGAGTCTAATGTCATACAACAATCTGATAATAGTAAAACACTGTTAGCTTTATTAGTAGACTATATCACTCACATACCCGACATTAACTGTAACCGGACGAGAGACCTGTTCCGCCATATGATTACGCGTTCTTATCGTCATTCCTCTTACTTATTTTCCTTTTCAATCGGGACAAATATGTAAATCTTATCTTATCCAACATTATCACGGCCTATTTAAAATTCTTTGTCCAATTACGGTATTATCAGAGACAAAAAATGCTAGACAGAGCTCACTTCATGAAGACACCAAAATTTCATGAAACTGACAGTCTGATTTGGATGCCAAACAAACCAGAATAATCTTCAATTACAGAATTAACCGTATTTTTCGGATTAAATCTCTAAAAATAATAAAAGCCAAGGCGAACAATTTATAAAAACGCGAACGTTTAATTTTGTTTGTTTATGCTTTTACGCATCGGCGATTCTATCGAGTTTTTTCGTGCGTGAAAGACTAAAAAGCGCTGTTTTAAGCTTATGATAAAACTTTTAACAAGGCAAAAAAATTTTTAACAAAAGTTATTATTTTAGATTTATTGTTTTAATCTATATTGTTTCAGAAAATAACAAGAAAATATTCAGCTCTCTTGCACACCCCAGTGTTGTCGACAAGCTTAAAAGTTGAAATGCCGCGGTTCAATAAATCACTTGATAGTTGCCAGATGCTGCATTGCTTTCAAGTTAGGATGGGATTGGGTTTGGATTTACATATTTATCCCGGGGGAAAGCAAAGTCGAATAAGGCGGCTTAATCGTATGGCGAACTACGGCCTCGTTTCCAGTCCATTTCTGCATGTCTGGTATGGGATTAGTCAGCCAGTTATTTGCTTTCGGAAGAGAGAGAATTTTTATTGTTTCGTCAAACCAGAAAACACATACAATATATATATGATAGCAAAATGAGAAAAATTAGATTTCGGTAGATGACAGGGTGGTAACGATACGACCATTAACAGTCATCTGAGTCGGTTACCACCCAAAGCAAGCACATGAATAAATAAATTAATAACACAGGTTCTGTAATATTAATATTAATATTGTTTTGTAGCAAAAAAAGAGATATTACAACCTTTAGAGTAACCTTAGGCAATAACATAATTGACCGCACCAAAAGTATTAAATATCTTGGGGTTACAATAGATGACAAATTGAGCTGGAAGGCACATATTGCCGATTTGTCTAAGAAATTATCTCAAACTGTTGGAATATTTTACAGACTCAGGTATATTTTGAACCCTGAAACACTCAAATTGGTCTACTATAGTTTATTTCACTCGCGATTACAGTATGGTATACTTAGCTGGGGGTCGACAAATAAGTCTCTATTGCAGCCAATACAAGTTTTGCAAAATAAAATTTTAAGATGTATGGCATTTTCAGAAAAAACTCACATAACCAATTTTCAGCTGTATCGACAGTTTAATATCTTACAGCTGTGTGAAATGCATACACTTGAAATAGCCAAGTTCATGCATCGGCATGAAAATGGCCTTGTTCCCATTGCTTTCCAACACTATTTCACTAGGCTACAAGATGTACATAATACACCACTAGGTCCCAAAAAAATAGGTCATATTTTACCCCTCATGTAGCCACGGAGTTTGAAAAAAGATCACTGAAATATAGCGGTGTCCAGGTCTGGGGCATTGTACCACCTGACATCAAAAATTGTTCAGCATATACTTTCAATAAAAATATGAAAAAATTCTTGTTATCCAAGTACCCTGATCCGTATACTTCTGTTTAATATACTGTAATTGCCGTTTTATGCTGCTAAAAGTTATTGTGCAATAAATGATGAACTGCATATTAATTGCATATCTAGTTGGGCATACTTAATTGTGGAACACGCATTAATATTCCATTTCTATTTCAAGTATTTATGAATCTTTATGAATGTTGGTGATTGTCAGTGTGTTTCCCAAGCTTCCATCTCGTAAATTAATTTAATATCCTTTTCATATTGTTGAAATCACTGTATAAGAAGTGATGAAATGAACATTTAATTGTGGATCATACATTGATACTCCATTTCTAATTCAAGTATTTATAAATCGTTATGAATGTTGGTAGCCACTATACAGTATTCAGTGATTGTCACTGTGTTTTTTCCATGCTTTCATTTCATAAATTAATTTACCTAATAACCTTTTTATATTGTTGAAATTCATTTTGTAACAAATGAACAGCATATATAATTGGGGGCCATACATTAATATTCTAGTTCTATTTCAAGTACCCTTGGTGTGAATGTTGTTAGCCTCTTTGTAAATTAATTTATTAACCTATTTACATGTTAAACTAATTATATAATAAGTGATGAACTGCATTATCAATAGCATATTTGTTGGTAGCCACCATACAGTATTCAGTGATTGTCACTGTGTTTATCCATGCTTTCATTCCGTAAATTAATTTACCTAATAACCTTTTTATATTGTTAAGATTCATTTTGTAACAAATGAACTGCATATATAATTGTGGGCCATACATTAATATTCTAGTTCTCTTTCAAGTACGCTTGGTATGAATATTTGTAAATGTTGTTAGCCTCTTTGTAAATTAATTAATTTATTAACCTATTTACATGTTAAACTAATTATATAATAAGTGATGAACTGCATTATCAATAGCATATTTAATTGTGGATCATACATTGATACTCCATTTCTAATTCATATTTTTAAAAATCTCTATGAATGTTGGTAGCCACCATACAGTATTCAGTGATTGTCACTGTGTTTTTCCATGCTTTCATTTCGTAAATTAATTTACCTAATAACCTTTTTATATTGTTAAACTCATTGTGTAACAAGTGAGCTGTATATTTAATTGTGGATAATACATAAATATTCGAATCCTTATTCAAGTATGTATAAATACTTATGAATGCTGGTAGCAATTAAACAATATTCATCGATTGTTATTATTTTTCCCCTGCTTCTTCATGTGAACTAATTAAGGTGCCAAAAGGAGTCAAATGATACTTTTACGTCATGCACTCCATTACTGAATCTGTGATGATATTATTATTTTCTTGTCCCTATCTTTCAATTTTTGATCTCGGTCTGTGTCCAATAAAAAAAAAAAAAAAAGCTTTTTTTAAATCTTTGACTGTTTTAATTCTTTCATTGGACATGATCGGTTACATCGGTACATGACCTCTCAAAATCCTAAATTGCCCGTTGATAACTTTAATAATAATAACTTTAAATTGCCGACTCATTCACTCATTTCTTTATCTTATATATATTTTATTTAATCCCATTTGCATTTACCCATGGTACTATATTATGCCATGATAACCTTATATACAGCATTTACAAAAGGGTTGGGAGCCTAGATGACCTTAATCGGTCCTGCACACTGACCCGCACAAAACAATAATCAATTACACTCTCAGGATATACATATGGAAAAAAAACTATATACACTATGGAAAAAAAAAATGATATCTAATTAGAGATGAGAAAAATTTCTAATCGGGATTAGAAAGTTATTAAATAAATTTTAAATAGAGAGGAGCAAAAAATAAGAATTCCATACCAAATTTATTATATTAATTTACACTTTCAATCTGTTCTGAATCTTCTTTTGTGCTCACACATGATAAAATATGAGGGATATGATCACAGGGAAATTGAAGGTTCTATGAGTGACAATAATGTGTTGTGTGAAGAAAACCATAGATTGAGATATGAAATATAGGCATAACAGTAGTACAATTTTATATTTTCAATTCATTAGGGTGAAGAAAAAAAGCAGGATGCATATGGAACTTCTGCGAGATTTACACATTACTACGCAGGACAGGTATTAAGATGGGAAACAATCAGATTGGTATTGCAACCCTTCACAAATAATTTAGAAATAGACAAATATGACTATGAGTTGAAATAGATATGTGATATTAAATAAATTTTGACAAGGCTGGGTCAAATTAAATCACGATAGCCCAAAATATATTCCGTCTTGTAGTAATTTATTGCATACACGAGGTTTAAACTATTAGAGATTCTGAACAATTAGCAAATTTGTCTATATCACTATGCACATTAATTAAAAGAATATTGATCACATTAAATTCAATACACAGTATAATACTACATAAATATATATATTAGATCAAGGCCCTCCTATCCTTTGTATCTAAATTGCAATTAAGATGAGCAATTTTGGGTTATTAGTTATACATATATGGCAAACTAAGGGAAGGAATAGTCAGGAAGCATCAAATTTTCTTCGCTCAGCATTACTGCTTTATTTGGCTGCTTACAACTTTGTTCACTTTACTTGCTAGGCCCAAAAATACTGTACCGGTAAGGCGGTATACAGGTATATGAAAATACCAAATTTGCAAATGCAGAAATGCTACACTGTCTAATATCAGAATACAAACAGCCTGGCGTTATAATTTATAATACAGTAGCCTACCTACAGACCTAACACATGTGCGTGTTGTCGAATGGAAGAGAAAGCATTTTACAAACTTACAGCACTGGTTATAAACCTTCTCTAGGTTTTGCCCTTTTTACCCAACTTCTGATCTTTCTGGGATAGTTTGTATTTCATTGTAACTATTTTTTTTATTAATACTGTAATAACATTTTATTTTTTAATGCTAGACTTGAAATAGACCTAATAATTTCATATCAATGTTGGGCATATTCTGTCATTAGTTTTGTATGGTACCTTTGACAACCATTTCAGCTAATCTTGGTATTTGTGTATTGCTGTATTGTCTGGTTGAAATCTTAGAATCGGATAATAAAAATGGAAAAATTTAACAACAGAGATTGTATTTTGGATGAAGTTTTGAAATCAAGTAATATCATGTCAGAGGAATTTATTCAACAAATATTTTTGGACAGTAACGAAGAGAAGGATTTGAAATCACTTTTCCCTCGGCTGTCATCGGAATTTGAAAATGTACTTTCAAGACTGCCTGGCGGAGAAATAAAAACATCCGATCTTACTATAGAATCAATTTCAAAAAAATTAGAAGATGCATTAAAAATTATACAGTGTATTAACAATATTATTAATCAATTGATTTCGATAATCTCAAATAAATCATCTGCAACTGAGTTGAAAGACATACCATCCCTTCCTGATAATACTATACAGGTTTTGTCCAAATCATACAAGCATTGTAAAACTAGTGAAAAAGTGTACGGAAATTTCTTTAAATACGTGAGCAAAACTCTTGGTGTGTTGTTTCAAAATACATACTCATTACAGAAAAGTTTTGGCTTTGTTTTGAGCAAAATCGAGTTTGTTACGAATGATGAGTATTTTGAAGAAACTCAAATATCTGCCATCAAGATTTCCTCAGGATTACTCGAAATTTGTCAAGTCATAAGTGGAATGGATAATATGTTACTCGGGGCAACGTGGAAACTATTACTCAGCTTTCTATCCGAATTCAAAAAAGTTTTGTCGAATAAATTAACTATAGAACCATATATCGCATTGCTGTGTGCTAATGTTCATGATTGTATGAAATATACAAGCGAGTTATCTATAAGAAGTGCCCACCTACTTTCATCTGGTGATCTACCCACACAAAAAGCATTTTCTCGGTCTTGCAAGTTCTCAATGTTCTTTCTGTCGTCATTAGCAACGATTATCAAACAGTATGGTAGTTCTATATGTGGGGACGATTTTGAAACTTTCATGAAATTCATTGACAATATAGTGAATGACCTTGATTTGACCTTGACAAGAAACAAAGATTTCAGTAATTTGGAGAAACAATACTATTCTGATGCAATTATAGAGATTGAAAATATTTTTCGTATACTGCTCTCTGAAGATGCTTACATTCAGTTTTTCAAAAGTTTGAAGTTGGATGCTTGTTCCCTTTCTCTATTGTTGGGAATGGCTAAGATTTTAGTTACAAATGGAGAAGAAATAAACACACATTGGTTTGTCACAGATGATACCTCTTCAGCAAATAGTTGTGCAATTATTCATTTAATCAAGCAGATATTGGAGTCAGATGAATATGAAAATTCTGGGACATCATTATTATTGACTGATTTTAAATGTTCAAGCAGTCGCCATGATGCTGGGAAAATTTTACTGTTCACTCTGATATCCTGTCTACATTCGGACATATATCCATCTGTAGAATTAATACTAGTTGAAAATATGTTCTCTAGTCGTCTTCCAAGAAGCATTATGGCAATGGATTTATTAGACTCAATTTGTAGATCATCGTCAAAATTGTGTGGACATTATTTCACTTTGTTTTTGCAATTGATTGAGTCTACTAATGGATTATCCTTCAAGATTCCCATACCTGTTATGGTAACATTAAAATTTCTTCAAAGGATTGCCCCTCTCTTATCAAATGAAGTCATAAAGACTTTTAATTCTGAAGATATACATGCGATGAATGTTATAACCCCTTACAGAGAAACTTTGAAGCCGAATTTCCAGTTTATATTCATCAGCGTTTGCAAAGAATTCAATCATGAAGTAAATTCGTGGATAGAAGGGTCAAATCGATTATTAGAACTTTCTAAATTGTTAAAAAATTTTGACAAAATACTTGAATGGATTTTTTTGGTTCAAAATAGGAGCCGTGATCAGCCTGAGAAGAGGAAAGAAATTTCACAAGGGGAACAGATACTGGCAACAGCAATTTTGAAATTGTTAAAATTCATTGAATTTGAACCATACTTGGAGAAGTTTATTGTTGTAACAAAATTTTTATCACTGATTCTGCATATACTGAATTCACTAACTTTTTCAAAATTTGAAGCAAATGATATAACATGGATGTTGTATTATTTTTCAAGCCTTTTGAGAAACGGAAAATTACTTGTGAATAGTAAAATAATTATAGCACAGTTATTACAGAAGTTTGAATTAAAATCCAATTCTACAGATGTTGAGAACGAATTTTTAAGTATGTTTGTACATCTAATTACCGATGAAAATTGGAGGGTGAAACACCAAGCTCTCAGTTCGTTCGAATTTTTAACGCGGACTTCAAGTGGGACGTTTTTATTAGAAAAATGTGTGAACCTTCCTACTATAGTGATGAATTACGAGTCGCATTTACGTTTTCAAATTTTGGATGAAAATCACTTGACTGAAATAAAAAGTAGTCGAAGAAAACTTGAAGCATCTAATTTTGATAAATGTTACCAATCTTGGATTAAAAAACAAGAAGAAAAAAGGAAGCTCTCCATTCCAATGAAGAATATCATTGATAGCAAGAAAAACACACAGGAAAACACCCAAGTTCTCCATTTATTGAGAGAACTGAATAAAACTCTCAGTTCAGTTGACACTTTGCTTAAAGAAGGACATGTTGAATTCATACTATCAGATGAGCAAGTTTTAAAAAAGTTTTCAAATTCTAAATTATTATTTAGTAATATTTGTGATAAGTTGAAATCTTCTTCATAAGATTGTATATAATTTTTTTTAAATTGCAAACAGTATTTATCGATATCATTTATTGTTTTGACCTCCACAGATGTATTAAATGAAGTAAAAATACTTGAACAGTTACTGATTAAAATACAACAAACCTGGTTAAGATATATTGAGAACTGACTTCATAACAAAATTGAAAGTGTGAAAGAACTTTCTGGACACCTTGTATTTCGAAATTGTATACTTATTAAAGCTGGGTTACCTGACTCAAACTTGATTAAACTTGCTTGAATCACCAAAATAGAATGACTCGGGCCCAACTGAACGCCAGTGCGATGTAACCCGACTGGGGATTCAGAGTTCTCAAATCCTGTAAGCAGCGTGAGGTGTGAATTGGAATAGAAAATTTGGTAAATGTTCCAGTTGCATGGACTTTGATGATATAGTAAGCCAAAATTTCTGTAATATGGTCCACTCTGTGATAAAAAATATAAACCCTTGTCTAACTAAAAGAATAATACCCTTCACAATTTCAATTTTGTTATGAAATAAGTTCTCAATATATTTTCACCAGGTTGGTTGTTTTTTAATCAATAATTGTTTTTACCTCATTTGATGCATCTGTGAGGAGGCGCAGTTCTTACCACTTCATGGCAGCTCCTGCCACGAACGAACCGCAGCAGCTCTTGCCATGGTTTTATAGCGCTATTCAGTATTCAGTAATCAGTATTAACGGTATATTCACAAGTGAATGTACCAGATTTTAATTGATCATGTGGAATTATATCTACTTGAACCCCAACTCTAACCCCAAATCCATCAAAACTGTATCCATAAGAAAAACGTTCCAACTTACCCAATATTTGTCACCATAAGGGACAGCCCTATCTTTACGGCCCACCTGCCGCGGTTACGGCAGCAAAATTTTACCTGCCATTGGTTTTCAATTTGCTGCCGCGGTAACGGCATCTCGGCATTGGGGTGTGGCAGCTAAAAAGTCAGTCGCCATAGGTTTGGCCGTAGCGGCCATGGTATGGAAATACCGCCATGGTTTTGCGGCAGCTGCAGACGCCACAGAATACTTAAAACTGCACTTGTCTGTGAGGGCTAAAACAATATATGGTATCTATAAATTCCCTTTGCAATTTTAAGACTTTATGCACACCCTATACTGCTAATTTAATAAAAGTTCCTGTATATAGTTAAACTTTATTTTTAAGTTTTTGATAAAATCGTTATTTTTTTGTAGAAATATGCTAAGTAAAATTTGTAGTACTAGAGCTTTACTAAAACTAGTAAAGGTGCCAAAGTCTGCTTTACTATGTAGAGGTTCTGTTAATAGTGATGTTACATCGAAATTATGCGGAATTTCGTGCAGATTTATTTCTGTTTCATCCACGAAATGGGCCAATCAAATTCATGAAAAAGTTGATCAAATTGAAAATGAGCTTGTGCATAGAGAACCGTGGCATTGGAAAAAGCCAGAAGGCCATGATACTGGAGTAAAGGTTTGTTGGATGAAGTTATTTTTTTGTGTGATTCATTAACTCGCTCTTTGCTTTGGATGAGGTTCTGAAAAAGCAGCATTTCCTTGATAAGAAGCTACTATACTTTTAGAACAGCTGGAGTCTTTCCAGATTAAGAGGCCTATGCCCCCCACCCACCCTTTGAAATGTGGAAAAACCTTACTCCTGTATAATACTGTCATATATTACACATCTGGGTGAGGTGGTGGGCATGACGTGTGCCGAAATTTTGATCTGCAATGCTAATATAGTTAGGTCTAAACGAAATATTACATTCCGAAAACGGGTTCACTCCCACATTTACGAAGGGGGGGGGGGGGGATTTTAATCCCCTCCCTGGCTAGGCTCTTGCTCAAGTCATTGACTCTAATTCAGTTATCATTTATTCGTCACTATCTATTGAAGACTTGAGTCATCAGTAAAACCCAACTCAGTGAACTTGTCATAAGGCTTTGATGACCCACAACTTGACCCCATTACTAGTTTTTGAGGGCCCAATTTAATGTGATAGCTGGTGAACATGTGAGTCAGACCTGAGACGTTCATAAGTTTGGGAAGTATGGTTATCAAAATAAATACAATGTAAATTAGTCTTCTTCTTCTAATGTTGTGGATCAAATCATAGTCTCCATAAGTGATCTCCATAAGCTTCGGTCCATTGCCTTAGCATTAGTCACTTTTCAAAAATGAGTACTGGTTCTCCTTTCACACTAAAATGCCATTTATACTTCATTCTATTTGTACAATGTATATTTTCAATGTGGTAAACAACTAACTATCCACTTAATGACTTCTTTACTTTACTTTTAGATTATAAACAGTTACAGATGCTTGTGGCAAAATAAAATGCCAGCAAGCATACCGTTAATTGTCAAAGACCCGAACTACGTCACTTGGTATGCATGTGGACCAACTGTGTACAACAGCTGCCATATTGGACATGCATGGTAAGTTATACCCTCTTTTTGTTATACTTTTGTTTCTTATGCGATCCTTATTCATGCCTTTTGCTCTGAACATGGTTCTATTCAAGCAGCCACTAATGTCTATGATAGAATCACTACACACAGGATTTGCACCAGATATGTGTAATTTGTGGTGCCAGCATAGTTACCTCTAAGACGTATTGTGAATCTTAATTGAAGAGTAGCATGACAACTCCTAATAATTTGGCACCCCTGAAGTATGTGTGTGTACTAGCATGTAGGTAACTAATTTTTTTGCCTACTTTACATCAAGTTGTGTAAATGAACTGAAACCTATATAGGCAGGCGGTATATTCACTTGGCAAACACAAACAGTCCCCAAACCTGAATAGAACTGAAATGCGGAAAATTGGAATAAAATATTACCTAAATTTAATCTGGTACACACACTACAGGAGTACCCCTAATTGTTGCGGTGCGCCTCATCTGTTCAGTCTGTCTCACCAGCGATTGTATAGTCGTGTTAACTTGTAGATGTTTGTTTATGATCACTGTTTAAGTTGAATTGTGATTGTTTAATTTTTTATTGACTAAGGACCATTTCATCATGTGTTTCATGTATATTCACATTTTTATTACTTGTATTTGTTTCTATTTTTTTGTTTGTTGAAGGACTTATCTCCAGTTTGACTTGATTCGAAGAATTCTGACAGAATATTTTGGTTTGAACATCTGCTTGGTCATGGGAATTACCAACATGGATAACAAGATCATTAATAAAGCAATGCTGGTGAGAACAATGGTTGTGAGATCTGGGAAAATTTACAATCGTCCTCCCATTCCAATTTAAATGGAAATTCTTCTCAAGACTTGCGATTTCGAATTTAAAAAAAATTCTGTTGTTGACTCTGAGCTCCAGAGGGAAACAAACTTATATAATGAAATTTCAACCTGACTTCATCTCCTATCTTCAAGGAAATCAATCCGATAACAAAAACTTTGACATATGCAAGCCTCTTTCTAAAAGGGTGTTAATAAATACTTTGCAATTTCTTTAAGTGTTTATAAAAAATGTTTACTTTGTTCATCGCCATGAAAGGTCTGAAATTCCTTTTTTGACTCTGACTCCGAGAATTTAAAAATACATTTTTGATTCCAATAAAAACATATCAAATCCTGATTCCACAGCCCTCGTAAAATCACACTTTATTTCCATTTTTGTTGTTACAGTGAGCACATCATGCCAAACATTTAGAATGAGCTTGACATGGCACCACTGAGTGCCCTGCGTGGGTTCGCATGTTAATATCCCATGGGAGATAATTATGTGCTAGACTCCTTGCAATCGGACCCACCATAAACTGATGACTGGAAGAGACACCCCATGGTTTGCTATGGAGACAATTTTTAAACTAATTTCGAAATTTTATATTCCACAGTATGACCAAGGATTTATGGAAGTCGCCGACAATTTCGAACAAGAGTTTAAAGAAGATATGACTGCTTTAAACGTTCTTCCACCTACTTCTTATATCAGAGTTACTGACGTTATTCCACAGATAATAAGTTTTATTCAAAGTGTAATCGATAACGATCAAGCATATGTGACTGAAAGAGGTGATTATTTAAGATTAGTTTTCAAATTCAAGCCTAGTCTGCAGAGTTTGAGTCGGAGTTTGTACTTAAGATTAGTTCGTTGGTTGCGACTGTGCGGTCGGAGTTAAAGATGTTTACACTGGAGCAGTGGGCCGCGACCCGATTTTTTTTTAAATAAATTTTGTAAAATCTGCAATCCAAGGACATGGCCAGATACTAAACAACATTCAATTACTATTGAGCAACACTTCAATGCCAAATGTAAAATAAACAATAAATATACTAGAAAGTTACTTTTAGGTTTTTGTTGAAAAAACAAGCCCATGAAAATTTAAAGGCGAGCCAGTTTTGGGTCGAGACCCATAGGTTGAAAAACACTGCAGGATAATTAGATGTGCAATTACAAGCGAGATCCTAAAACATAGAACAGTGCACCGACAGCCGAGCCTCTGCAAACTTCATATAAATTTCCTTTTGTTCAGGCAACGTCTACTTCTCCTACAACTCATCTCATCAATCTATTGCGAAACTCAGATTTGAATTCTTTGAGCCAGACTCTTCAGTTGGTGAAAAGGTCTTGTAAGAACTTGATTTGGTATTTATTGAGAGAACTACGGTATAAAGACTCCTCTTCCCTTGAAATTTTCTAAAGACGGGAAGGGACACTGATAATGTTTGTAATTTTTACAGGGCCTTTTTCGTTATAATCGCTGATTATTTCCGTCTGCATGAAGTGAATATTTAGGTTGTTTACATCTTTATGGCAGTGGGTATTTATGTCTAATTCAACGGGGATGCCTATTATTATTAGCTAAAACATTTGACTTTTTTTTGCCACTTTATTTTTATATTAGATATAACTTGACCAAACATAGAATACCAATTTTAACACAGTCCCTACCCTACAGTGCATTCCTTATCAAAGTGATCTGTCGTGTAATATACACCCAGCCATTGGCAGCATGCTGTATAGTTGTCTATATCAGGGGTGCACAACTCAAATGAGGACACGAGCCAAATTTTTCAAAATAATCTTGTCGCGTGCCACGCACAGTTGTTGGTATGACCTTTTCCCGACCTTTGACCGCCGAAAAATTCTTCCTATACTTTACCATTGCAAAATTTTCGGTGCTTATTTTAAGAATGGTTACGCAAGTTGGCGTCTGTAAAATAGGATATTTGTTTCAAGCCATCATTCTGAGTTATAGCATTCAACAATCTGTTTTTTAAAAGTACAGGTAAAGAATTTTAGCCTAGTCTATCACAGCTATATCTACACTAATTTTTTATTACTGCAATTAAACTGAAACTCCTAAGAAGACAGAGTGATCATTAAATTATCTGCTTTATATTTAAATTCCCGAAACACAACTGAAATTTAAGGAATAGAATTCAAAAACGCGAAAACGAGGTGATGTTTACGACACTCCTGAAAAAGTGTCTGAGCGGAAGCGATGTTACGTTACTTTTTGCATCTTGCTGATTGGCCAATGTCACGAAGTAAACAAGGAAGTCGATGCTCGGGGAAACAAGCTTTGTAAATGAACTCCTGTTAAACACACTTCAAATTTCAATAATAATACATAATAACGAATATCTGGTGCTCCCGAATTATGCGAACCAAGATGGCGGACATCGGAACGTAACATGGTTAACAGGATAGGGTTAGGCGATAATTTTTTTCCAATTTTCCTTATTTTAGTCCTATTATCAGTTCTAGACTAGCCAAGAGCCTCCCGTAGTATTTATACCTAAAATTATGGCCTAACCCTAACCTAGTACACATATTACATTCCGATGTCCGCCATCTTGGTTTGCATACTTCGGGAGCCCCGAATATCTATTTATTGAAACAATTTAAAAACTGCTGATTTTGATATAAATGTGGTGATATTTTAATGCATATCATAAATAATTTTTTTTTACAAAACCGTTTGCGTGCCACGTTTGAGTGTATGGCATGCCAAATTTGGCACGCGTACCCTGTGTTGTTCACCCCTGGTTTATATATATATTATATACACTTCATTATATTCCTAACCCAGAGATTGCAATTTCTTTTTGCAGAGGTTTCCCAAAGATATTGCTTTATGGAAGACTCCAGGACCTGGAGAGCCATACTGGGACTCACCATGGGGTAAAGGAAGACCTGGATGGCATATTGAATGCTCTGTGATGGCCAGGTAAGAAGATATTTAGATAGGACATGATTTCTATTGGGTGAAGCTTTAAAGGCCTTGGTTTTCATGATTCTTGATGGTCTAAAAAGCGTTCCAAGCTCCAAAGAAATACCATGTATGATACAGTAAAAATTTCAAAATGGGGGGTTTCGACCCGCAAAAATAGTTACTCCTCACCAGTGTTCCCTCTAAGGTGTGCGCGTGTGCGCGCGCACACAGCTTTCAAAAGCTGCGCATACGCATAGATTTACTGCGCACAGACATATTTCGATGTAATGTAACAATGTGCTCGGTTGGCAGGTTGAGAAAGTTTGTTGTTGGCCCACCCATTACCCGGTTAGAACGCCAAAATTTCTTCATTGGTTTTTGCACAAATATTAGTCATTTTCAAAAAAGTGCGCACACATACTACAAAAAATTAGAGGGAACATTGCTCCTCGCACATTAGAAAGTGGTGGCTGCTTGTAAGTGCTTGGCCTAGAGTAAAATGTCGGGCGATATGGAAAACTCTTAAATCTTTATTTCAGCATGTGTTTTGGTTCGAATGTCGATTTCCACTCCGGAGCAAACGATTTAAAATTTCCTCATCATGAATACGAGGTTGCTCAGTGCGATTCATTCCATGGATGCCACCAATGGATCAATTACTTCTTGCATAGTGGTGAGTGGTGTGTTGCAGGGCTAGGGAGTCTTGGAAATAATTTCACTTAATGTCAAAGTTGTAGCCATTTAAAAATCGACTGAAAAAACTCTTTTCAAATGTGTTTTGGAATGGTTGCATTGCAATAGCTTAGCAGTTAAATTGTTAGTCTTGACATTGCAAGTTATATGCATGGGGTTGAAATTTTCCATGCCCACCCATGGTGTAATGATACTTGGTGTCGCAGACTTATGATGACCATCTCTGGTCCTTCGCGACCTCCAGTCAATTGCAATGAAATCCGTTACTGTAACGCATAATTACTTTTTCCTATTTCGCATTTGTCTTGTGATTTCTTGCACGACGAAATAAACTTATTGTTTATTGTCTGTTGTCCTGCAATAATATTAGTCCCTTGCATATCGTTAGACATGTCGGCTCGTCGGTGTGGCGCATCGTGGTAAGCGTACACTTGCCACAGCTCCTCTGACTACCATGCGTGGGTTCGCAGGTTCGAATCCCATGCGGGTATAGTTATGTGTAGGAGCATTGCGGGACTCCTCGCAGCCTCAGTGTAGTCCACCTAAACGCTGGTCTTTCACAGCTTCCTCCACTCTCAAGTCCATGCTTCTGTAAGCAAATAACTGGCTAACTAATTCAAAACCCGACATAGACTCTGCTAACCGGATAAACTACTGTGGTTCACCATTTGATTGAGACGGCTTATTGTCTTAACTCTCTCCTATATCAAGGGCTACTTCTACATGCCCTTGTCTAACGCGTAAAGCATGTAAGAGCAAAATAACTTCTTCAGAACTTGAATGCTCCGAGAGGATTGAACAAAAAGAATCTGCCATATTGTATAATGAAGACAAAATTAAATAATCATCATTTAAAATAAAAAATATAAAAATTTTCCTCCCCAATTCTGTCCTCAAATTCTTGCTTATTTATTCCCATTTTTCATCCATTATAAATTCCTCGTTCATTGAATTCTCAACTACTACAGGTCACATGCAGATAAAAAAAGGAATAAAGATGTCAAAGTCTCTTGGGAACACAATAACGATACGAGATTATTTGAATGAGTTTGAAGATCCAGACACGTTGAGAATGTTGGCCTGCAACACTATTTGGCATAAGAGTGAGTATTAGATCTCCACTCTAGGAGACTTTTATTCTCAGTCATTCTGTCTGTCTGTTTGGTTGTGGCGTCTGAATAGACAGGACAAAAGCATGGTCTATTTGTCTATTTGTATTTCACAGTCGTTAGAAAAGAGAGCGAAAGCAGACGTGAAGCTTACTGTATTCCTAGCACCCATACAATGTGTTCCCAGTCACCCATACAAGTATTGACAAAACCAATACTAACCAATTTTCTCATAATTTTTCGACATTTCATAGTCAACATCATGGCAGCAGTGAAAAAACAGGCTGATTTTTTTGCCATTTTCTAGTCAACTGAGTTGAATATTGAGATTCCGAGAATGCTCTCCTTTAGACTGAAACACGCTTTCAAACAAATTGCTTGGCATAAGAGTGAGTATTGGAACTTCGCTCTAAGAGACTTTCATTCTCGGTTATTCTGTATGTCTGTCTGTTTAGCTGTAGCATCTAAAATGGTGGGTTGTTGAAAATTTTCTCATAATTTTTCGACATTTTGTAGTCAACGAAGTTGAATATTGAGATAGTTCATGAACTGGGGAAGTCTTTGGAATGCTAGTGAACTGTAGCATCCAAACATCTGAGCTAATTTGATTGAAATTTCCCTGTTGGGTTATGTTGTCCTTATCACCCTAGTAATCATCAAAATTCTGGATTGATTTTTCCATTGTAAGTAAGTCTATAGAGCGATTCCTTAAGATATCGCAGTGACTACGTTTATCTGGCTTTGTTCAAATCAAAAAGGCACGAGCGAGTGTCATATTACATCATTATACAAAAAAAATTTGGCGACCCACCAGAATTTTGTGCTGGCTATGCTTTTGCTCATGTGACTTCTATATTCTACCACTGTCAAGCTTGAGTTCAAAGATTAAATTTTATTTTAAGATTTCAAATACACTGAAGGCATTACAGAATCAGCCGTCAACCATATCAAACTATTTTCTCAATTTTTATCGAAATACAAACGAGTAATCAGAGGAGCAGAGAATTTAATTGTTGATAATGCGAAGGTTCTAGAGGTGAGTGAACAAAAACTCTTCAGAAATTAATAAAAAAATGCACACCATGCACCAGAGGAGTCCTCAAGGGGGTTGAGTTGCTGGTCAGAGCCCTCCTCTTGAAATGTAAAAAAAAATAATTTTTTCTGTGTCATAAATAGTAATTTTTTCGAGGCTGAAACACTTTTATAAATCTTCGACATTTTCCGGCCACGAATTTCAGATCACCACCCCCTTTAGATAATTCTTGACTACACCCTTGTCGGGCTAGTCTTCATACTCGTCATAGAACTAAAATAAGGAAAATTGGAATACAATTATGGCCTAACCCTAACCTGGTATACATACTACGTGCCCATTTTTTGTGGAACAAGTCGGTTACGCAAATATCAGTTTGCTTTTTTTTAAGCATTTTGTACTTCGTCTTGGCGTCATTTCGCTCACGTTGTGTGAGCGTTAATCCTATTTCCTTATCATCTTAACTTAGCAATTTTTTTATTTTAGGCAGTCGCAAGATGTGAAGCAAATATGAAAGAGCATTTTGCCGATAACATGTCGATAAGAAAAGCGATAACAGAATTAAAAAATCTAATCATTGAAGTCAAGAAGTCTGCCGCAGAAGACGATACGAATAAGCAAATTGGCAACTTCTGCGATGTGTCTGCGATCATGAAGCTTACTAATTTATTTGATAAAACTTTTTCAAATTTGGGATTTACTTTTCATAAAAAATTATAACTATTTGGTATGAGTTGGTATTGAGAAAGAAAGACGATAAGAAGACTTTATCACGTTGCAAGCCCTTGTTTTTTTCAGGCTAATACTGCAGATAAACAACCCCAGTCTTGTCCAGTATGGTTATAGTGCGTTCAATACTCCCGTAGTATGTGGACCAAGATGGCGGACACCAGAACGTAGTATGTGTACCAGGTTAGGGTTAGGCCATAATTTTATTCCAATTTTCCTTGTCCAAGGGACTCTCGTAGTATTTGTACCTGAAATTATAGCCTAAACCGGAACACCTGCTACGTTTTGGTGTCCGCCATATTGGTTCACATACTACGGGAGTAGTAGGAGTCTTGGGAGTATTTTCAAGTTGTAATTTTTACCAGTCTCCGGATCCATGACAAGAGTACAGATAAAACCTACATATGATTAGTAATAATACGTGTTTATACTTGATACTTTGCACAGACAAAGCATTTTTGTCAACTTCAGTGACTATAGTACAGAGGTGGCCAAGGTTTCTGTATCCGGGGACAAAACTTCTGCTCATCCAGACTGGCGCGCCATGTAAATGTGAAATAAAAAGTTACATTTTTCGAACAATATTTACAGTGTTGCAAATGTGAAAAATTCCTCGAGCTATGTTCTAGTTTGGTTGTGGCAGCATCAGGCGGGCCAGATTAAATTACCTAAGGGCCGGATTTGGCCCGCGTCATCTCTAGGCCCATCACAAGATTCGTTTTGTTAACCATAACCGTCGGAATTAGGGCATTTAATACATTGTATGAATGCACAAAAATATGTCATGTCGTGTTTTGGGCTTGGGAGCATCGTGATAATACATGAAAAGTGACAAAATTAACTAATCAAGTTTGTGATATTGCGACAATACATGCTTGTGGCGTACGCGCAGGAGCCGTTGAAAAGCAACTTAACCAACTGAAATATTTATGACTTTGCGCAGTGTGAAAATATTGTCAAATAAAAGTCCGTTTCCATATTCAGTCAAACTAGACCACGAATTCTATTTTGTACATCACATAGATCGCTACAAACAATATCAAGACAAAATCAGTTTTCAAAATTGTTCCCTCGTCTGTCGGGCATTCCTCTACTGCCCCAAGTGTTAGATAGTTGTTCAGAGATCCAGGGAAATCAGTGAACAAGCCGTCAACTCCATGGTTGATGAATAACTCGTACTCTTTGTAAGGGTCGGATCCATAATCGTAGGCGAGGAATTGATATTCATTTCGGAAAGTGAATGGGTGAACCTAAAGTAAATAATGGAGTAGGTTAATATACTATTACTTATCGATCTTGATCGGTAAGTATGTTGATAGGTATTTGTCTGTCTGTCTGTTAGATGCACGCGAAATCCCACGAAAGCGAGGTTGAATCTGCTCCAAATTTTGCATGTGCATTCATCATATCTCGGACCAGAAGCCTATTCATTTTAGATGAATTATGTCGTATAATTAGCGAGGTATTAATTAATTAGTGTTGGGACACGCGGTGTCACTATAGAGTCATGAATCGAAACCGCAGTTTCGATCGATAAGTCTTCGGTCTCCGACCGATATTTTCGTTTATCTTATTAGACACGAAATGTACCTCTTGCATTATGTTGTTGTTGTCGCTTTCCTCATTTACTGATGGACCGATTGCTTTGAAATTTTCAGTGTTTAATGATTGTATTTTTTTGCTAGAAAGCTATTACTTTTATTTATTCTTAAATTTTCTATGAATCCTGTGAGATCTGATATTTCACTCAAAATTTTTTTACATTTTGTTTTCATGAGGATACGTATAAAAATTACTTCGTTTTTGATTTCGTGGTCATATGTTGAGCATCGCTCTCTAGTTTATAAAAAGGCGGAGAAAAAAGTCCAATATTCTATTCATCCTTATGATGAAACACTTTTCATCGTTTCATTTCAGTTCAAAGAGGATATAGGAATATTTAATCAATCATTTTTCTTTGTTCCAGAGGCGTTAGATAAGAAGGTGGGGAAGTATTAGTGAACCAGCGGTTGCCTGACTACCCAGCGACGGAAAGGAGTCGCACACAAAAGGCACTCTACAGTGCATTGGCAAACGTTTTCGTAATTCCTATCGCCATTTAAAAGCCGAGCCATCATCATTGATGTTCTGATCACGCCATGCGCACCTACTGATTAAACGAACCGTATTATTGAATTCGGTTTTGTAGCCAAAAATCTGAGATAAAGTATATACAGGGTGTTAAACAAGTCACGCAAAATTAATGTAAACTTTTTAGTCATGGCAATGATAAAAAAGGTACTGTTAAAAAGCATCAGTCGTGAAATGTTTAAATGGCCTTTCACCGTAACTCAATACTGTAAAAAGGTGTCAGTAATTAAATGTTTCAAATAACATTTCATCTTAACTTCTGTTAATTTTGCGATACTTTTCTAACACCCTGTATTTAACGCGTTATAATTTTGTTTGTTACTCGTCTATATTTACCTTACTAAGCTACATCATTACCCCATCTAAAGGGTGGTAAAGTGGAGTTTTAGGCAAACTGATTCCTTACGTATTCCTGTTTGAACGAAGCCTTGTTAAAAGCGCCGTATCGACGAAATGCGTGGACTAAATATCATTAAAAACGTTACAGACTGCTCTTTATACAAAATTTAAAACTAACAACGAATCCATCCATACTGGTGTGGTAAGATACTATGCAAACACATTGATAAGCAAAAAGAACGATTTAACAAAACAGTCCATATGTAAACTTTATATCCAATAAGGCGATGGTTCCCAAAGTTGATTGACCGGATTCCAAAATTAGAAGCGGAAAGATATCCGCGGGCCCCGGGAGGAGAACGCCCGCAATGGGCCGGCATCGGTACGTATAATTGGATACAGGTACATATGAATTGTTACGAATATACACGTGCTTAATTAAATAAACTGTGATACTAACGTAACAATTGACGGAACGATAAAAAAGGTAAGTACATAAAGTCCACGTGCCGCGGTTTGGGAACAACTGCAATGAGAACCAACATGACATGGTACACCATTAAAAAAGAAAAAAATGACACCAGTATATATATAACAAGCGGTAATACTTACCACAAACCCATACTGATGAGCCCTTGCAAGAAACGTCGTTGTTCCGATGATCGTGTTGCGTATCGGATCGATTTGAACAATCACCGATTTTGAAGGCCCGATCCCACTGACGTAAGTAGATAGTTCTTCCATGATATCGTTGGTCAGAGTTGACCCGGTGAGATAAACCTATGAACAAAGTCATTGGTGAGGAAGTTTATCTATCATAAGCAGGACTGGGATTTTTTGTACAGAACTCCCGCCCAAAAAAAACCACCAACGCTTAAAACGAGAATATCGGTCGGAGACCGAGGACTTATCGATCGAAAGTTAGGGGAAAACAGCGCTCTTACTCCATAGTGACACCATGTGTCCCATCACTAATTAATTTATACCTTGCTGATTATACGACATAATTCATCCAAAATAGACAGATAGACAAAATAGAGCAGATTCAACCTCGCTTTCGTGAGATATAGCGTGCATCTAACAGACAGACAGACAGACAGACAGACAGACAAATACCTATCAACATACTTACCGATTAAAATCGATAAGTAATAAGAAAATTCGTAATTATCCAGTTAGGGTTTGAATTGCAGATTTCGCATTCCTAACCCAAACTGGATAATTATTAATTTGTTTTTTAAAAACTCGACGGGGAGTGTTTTTATAAAATTTCACATTGTAGCGGGGGCTTTGTGTAAAAGATTCCAGGCCTGTAGATTCGATGAAAATATACACTCAATCGCAAACTTTGAGACATCACAAAAAAACTCCGAATCCGACGCTTGGTTGACGCCGACTATAATCACTTATTGGACTTATCACTTATCTGCTTATTGGACACGGAAGGTACCTATGGATCTTTTGTTATTATGTTTCTGGTGTTGTTGGTGTTTTTATTCTTGTTGTTGCCGTATGGATATCGCTTTTTGCATTACCTACTGGGCTAGACAACTTTAGTACTTGGATATTGTATTTTTGCTGGAAGGCTATCACTCTTATTTGTCCCTAAATTTTTCATGAGATCTGATAATTCTTCTAAAGTTCTGCTGTTATTTTATATACACGGGAACACGTTTTATGACACCGTGACAGCGTGTATTTGTGGAAGATTACATCTATTTTGTGTCCAGACATTCGAGCATCGCTGTTACAAAATTTGGGTATAATTTTACTAACCCACAACAATAATACAAACACAATCCTTCTTACCAGTTTTAACTCCGTACGATTCCGTAAGTATTGCAGACTTCTTATATCGAACGACTGCAAAAAACACGGAGAATTCTTTTTATCGTATCCGTAGCTTTCCAGAGATTCCAATAGTATGTCTTCCATAGTTGTGCCTGTGAAATATAAGTAATATAAATTTACAGGGTCGTTTACTCACTCCGATACGGTACCCTATTTTGGTACTCATGTAGTATGTGTACCAGGTTAGGGTTAGGCCATAATTTTATCCTGATCTACAAATATTACGGGAGTCACTTGGCTAGTTCCCGAACTCTTAATAGAACTAAAATTAGCAAAATTGGAATAAAATTATAACTTAACCCTAACCTGGTACCTATAGGATATGATAGGATTTACATATTTATCCCGGGGGAGAGGAAAGCCGATGAGACGGCTTATCCATATGGCGAGCCAGGGCCTCTCGTCCGGTTACCATTCCAAGTCGGGTATGGGATTAGTTATATTGTTTGTTTTCAGAAGCATGGGCTTGGTAGTGGAGGAAGCCGTAACCGACCAGCGGTTACGTGAACCACCCAACGACGGCGAGGAGTCCAGCAATCCTCTCGCACATAACCATCCCTGCATGGGATTCGAACCTGCGAACCCACGCAGAGTAATTAGAGGTGCGGTGGCGAGCGTATTCCTAACGCCTAGCCCGTTGAGCCACACCGCCGCGCCTACTATACTATATACTATATTCCGGTGTCCGCCATTTTGGTTCGCATACTACAAGAGATATGATATTTAAAAAAAGATTTGTCTAACAGTTTCTTTTCAGTTACAGTTTCACCCACTCCGATAAACGCGTCTGTGAACAAAGTTACCTGTGGTCAGTGAAATATAAAGCAAAACTGAAATTGTAGTTTCCACTTAAAGTTTTGACAACGACTCCTTACTTTGAAGGTAACACCGGTGTTTTCAAAAATTTCGTTCATATTTGTATTACTTCCAAATTAAAAAAAAATAGGAAACTTTTTTAAATAGTATATATAATGAATGAACAAGAGGTATTGGAGAATTTAAGACCGAACATGTTGAATCATTTAATTACTGAGAATATAATTGTATGGGGGGCAACAGACTCTAATGACCCCAAAACGTCGTATCGTTGCTTCCCAGTTATGAACCAAAAGCATCTTCATATTTAATATTCATTATGTATACATTACGTTGTGTGTATCATGGTCTGACCAATGAAATAACCCCTCTTTTTCTCTTTCGCCCAGTCATTAATAAAATTTTGACATTCGTATTTATTTACATACGCTAGATGGCGCCAAAGAACAACTCAGAATATGTAATTACTGTGTGATCCGATGAACAAAATGGTGGTTAAACAGGGCTATGAGACCGGGTTCAGTCAAGGTTAATTCGCGACGTGCAATCAACATGCGACGACGGCTTAGTCATGCCTGGTGATAAAATTCTAATTTTGTAGTAACGGGTTCTCTGTTGCATCACACAATCCAACAACGTGTTCCCGTTCTTCATGTTTCTGCATCACTGTAAGTTTTATCAACACGACACGCTTTACATAATCCTAACACAAGGGTCGGTAACATTTTATTGCTCGCGGGTCAAAATTAAGAGTTGCAAGTCATGGGCGAGCCGTACATATTTTTAGAAAGTTAAAACCGAACGGATGGCCAACAAGGCGTAGCCAGAAATTTTCAAAGGGGCGGAGGGGGGGGGGGGTCTAAATTTTTATCTGCCAAGTTAGATCGAAACAGCTAGCGGGTCTGATCCAACGCTGGAATACGCGTGTTTTTATTTGTCTTGAGGGTTTAAAAAGCATTTCAAGCTACGGAAAATTGTTATCTATGATACAGAAAAATGATTTCATATTTTTTTTACATTTCAAAAAGGGGAGGGATCGACGCGCAAAACCACCCCCCTTGTTACGCCACTGATGGCCAATTAATCACACTTTTTCACACAGATTAGAAGTTAAATTTTGATCAGCACGCGAAGACTGACAATTAGAATATTTTCTGCACCATTGAACCATTTGCACTTAGCATCAACTCTTCTGCGTTTTGTCTAATTATATTTAAATTACAGGCTCATTTAAACGCGTAATTGTGAATTATATACTTGTTGGGTTATAATATAATTTTGTCTGCACGTGTCCCAAAATAAATTTGTCACGTAAAGAATATAATTGTCAAAACAGCTGTTTTGTTACTATTTCAGTGAAGCGTCGCGGGCCGGATTATATTGCTCCGCGGGCCAGATCCAGCCCTCGGGCCGTAGGTTGCCGACTCCTATCCTAACATATAACATTTTAAATCAAATTATAAAGCTTGTTGACAGCTGCGATGAATGTTACATATTTCATCCGGTTTTCTAACGCGAAACGACGGGTTTCGCTGGTATCATGACATTCCAAGGACGGGTTCGATGATATCGCGACATTTTAGGAAGGGGTTCGCTGATAACGTGACATTACAAGAACAGGTTCGTGGATATTATGATGGTCTTACGATCGTGGCATTCCAATAACGGCTTCGCGGAAAAACGACATTACAAGATATCACAACATTCCAAAAACGGTTTCGCTGATATCACGGCATCGCAAGAACGGTTCGCTGATAACATAACATCAAAAACGGTTTTGATGATATTACAACATTCCTAGAACGAGTTTGCTGATAACACACTCCGGGAACAGGATCTCTGCTATCACGATATTTCAAGAACGGGTTTGTCAATCGTGGGATTTCAAAAACGTGTTTGCTGATACCACGAGGTTTCAGGAATGGGTTAGCTCATATCACAACATTCTAAGAACGGGTTCGCTGATATCACATCGTTCCGGGTTCACCGACATCGCGACATTCCAATAAGGGGTTCGCTGATGTCACGATATTCCAAACAACGGGTTCGCGGGTATTCCGAGATTCCGTAAACCGGTTCGCTGATATTATTACATGTCGTACAACAAGCTCGAGTGAACTCGTGCAAAACCGCTGAAAACCACACCTGTGCCTAGATCAGTCATTCACATTATTCATTCATTATAGTACTGTGTTGTGTCCAAGTCCAACACTCACCATTATCTTCCAAATATTTATTGAAGAAATCCGGTACTTTTGTCTCCGGATATATTCCAATTGTACGTGGGTTGCTCTGGTTTTGTGCTACTGCAATATACTCGTCAAACGAAGCCATTGCAAACTCGCCGTTGTATGATTGATCCCGATATAAGCGAGTTTGCACCTGTTAATTGAAAACGATTAAAACTCGGAGGCAACGGTTAGCGGACGGTGGTTCATAACCATCGTTCTATACAGTTTCAGTATCTCTTGTTTTTTCAGTAGAACCCCGTAACTTCTTATAGAAATAAAGTACTTTTTCTTCTGAATGAGAGCGCTGGACTTCTTCAAATAAATTCTCGTAAGGGCTACTTTTAGCTTACCATATTTATTACACATCGGGAGAGGTCGCGAGTAGGGCTGGGCATTTTCGAATACCTTGTGATTTCAGAATCGAATCGAATAATTTTTTCGAATCGAATCGAATACTTGAAAATATATAATTGTGGGCGACTTTATTCTAGTAATTGGTCTCCTCAACAAATGAATTACTGAAGACATAGAATAAATCACTCAGATAGATTACTGAGCGTTCACACAAAATATAAAACACATTTTATCAATAACTCACTACTGAAAATAGTCATATGTTAGAATTTCGTTGAAAAAATATGACTCCAATGAAAAAAAAATTGGGGAATTCACCTCGACCATTAGCGGAAAGATAAAAACAAGATGGCGGCGATTCGAAATGCCCAGCCCTAGTCGCGAGCATGGTATTTGAATCTTAGATGTGTAATCTGCGATATCATCATGGTTAGAACTAACGCTTTGTTTTGACCAATAGGCCCACACGACACCAGTGGTGTACCTACGTATAATGATGCCCATGGAAAGGTTTAAAAATGCGCTCACTTGATCGTTGACTCACAATTTTTAACGACTGTTGTTAAATTGAGATTCTTGTACGTTATTATATAAGTAAAAATACGAGTTTCAATTATTTCCAATTTAAAACTATTTTGATAAAATAGTTTACGATTAAAACTTTTTACCCTTCCTGAGCCCCAATAGGGCCATTACTTATATTTTTCAAATTTTCCTCCGAGCGACCTTCGCGTACAATGGTATTTTGAGCATTATTTTCTTGTTTTTGACAAATACTGAGATTGTTGTCAAATAAAATAAAACTGACCAACCTTTCTCAGCGTCTTTAGTTCTTCAAGGGTAAAATCGATCGTAAAGTAATCCGTTCTGAACCCTAAATCCGAAGGAATGAAATAGGTTTTGACTCGATCGCAAAATTCAACGTGGGAGTGAACATCTGTGGATTGATTCAGCCATGGTTCGTGTGTGCAGACTAGTTGGGCGTCCTGTGGCGTAAAATAGAGAAGGCTTAAATTTAACGGGTGTTCATAAAGTCTGCTACAATTTCAATTCTGTTATTAAGTTTCAGTCAGTTCTCAAATATATCGTAATCAGGTTTGTTTTATTTTAATCGGTGATTATTTAAAGTTTTCACCTCATTTAGGGACAACAAACTGCACATGATCTTGATAATTTTTTTTTGGCGTTCCATAAGTGTGTGTACCAATATGGAGGTAACTAATTTTGTTCGCCTATTTTACATCAAGTTTTGTAAAAGGACAGAGATTTATGGGCAGAGGGTATATTTACTTGGCTAACTCAGACAGTCGCCGAACTCGTAATAAAACTAAAATGAGGTAAACTGGAATAAAATTATGGCCTAACTCTAACTTGGTACACACACGACGGGAGTACCCTTTTTTTGCAATTCAGAAAATTTCTCTGATGTATTGCAGAAACGACACTAACTTCCCCCGTAAATTTGAAAACACTTTTGCCGCCGACCTAGATTCCGAACACCGAGAAGCCCTAATTTCGATTCCGGATCCGAATCCTGACTCTAGAATTTTGAAGATCCGACTCCAACGTCGACAATAATAAAATTACGCAAAACTCACAACACATAAGCAATTTGCTGACTGGCAAAATCCGCGAGGTGGCGCTACAACACCTTGGATTGAACAATGTTTCAGAGACTTAAGAAAAATTTCCTATTTGAACAATTAATTACGAGATATCACTAGCGGTGGAAAATAACAGCAGATAGTACCCTATTAAAGACGACACGATTTGGCTACAAAAATGTCATTAGATTATCCTGACTTACTTTTGTAACAGCCAAGTCGCATTCTATCACATCAGCTCCTTGCTCGATTGCCAGTTGGTACGCTTCTACGGTGTGCTCGGGTAGCATGCCTGGGGATGGTATAAACACTGTTTATTTTTCCACCATTCTATGCATACGTGGTAAAAACGAAAGTGAAAGATTCAGATAATTTATTTTTGTCGTGCAAGAAACATTGTAAACACAAGCATAGTAAATCAAGGCAAAAGAAACAAGAGAGCAATGCTCAAATATATGGACACGTAGAGTCACATAATTTTGCTGACGTCATAGCAAAAAAAAAAAGTAATAGCCTTCTGGAAAAAAATTCTATTTTTAACCACTGGAAATTCCAAAGCAATTGGTCCAGTAACCGAAGAGAAAAGCGATTTCTTCAAAACGTGTCAATGAACAACAAGACCAAGAACAACATAACAACAAAACGATCGTTATATCCAATACGTGTCCAAAAAAAACAACAGGCACACAATGTTTTGACTGCAATTGACGAGGAGCCGCGATCGAGAGAGTAAGTCAAAACAGAAGAGTTTAAATAGAAAATATGAATGTAATCAAGAGAGTCGGGAGAGAAATGTTTAAATGGGAAAAAATATTCATCATTTCGAGTATATCAGAAAACGCGCAGGACAGGGAAATTGTTTGCACGGGGATATATCCACTACAGTGCTACACCACCACGCATATAAAAAATTAAAATGCTTGCCATTTCTTGCTTTTCAGAAGCACTGAGATGGTTAACCATTGTAATCTGAGTGGTAATTTGACCACGACGCTCAAGCATCAAATAGCCCGAAATATGCAAATGCACCTAATTTTTATAGAACCATTCGATATACACATACAGCCAGTGGTGGGATTCAATTTTTTTGTCAGCCGGTTCCTTCACAAAAGTCATATTTTTCAGGGCGTTCTGTTACAAACAGAACATTCACAGTAACCTGTAATGCTAACCGGTTCGCTGATCTCATAAAATTCCGTGAGACGGCTTTATAGAACCGGTGCGAACCGGCTGAATCCCAACACTGCATACAGCAGAACAATATACATATACAGCCAACCAAAAATGCATTTACAACAAATTAAACATAAATATACAACTAATGACATCGTATATAAAACAAACCAAATATGAATATACAGCCTTTTCATATGCATATGAAGATAACGAAATATTAATATACAATCAAATGGCATATACAGCCGACTTAATATACATATACAACCATCGCATATAGCAACATCATTCACTTACTACAACACATATACATACAGACCTGAAGCACCACGATGAGCTATAATCAGTGGCCGATTCGTAGGTAATTCCCCCAAGTCATTTGCTTCAGCGTAATCCATTGCAAACAAGGCGACGAAGAGTAGTTTCCATAAAATACGAGGACAGTTACACCCAACCATTTTGTGTGATGAATGTTTCAGAAATAGTCTTTACGATTTTAAAGTTAATGGAAAATACCTGAATAAAAAAGTGCAATTTTAAAATTAAATGAAGACTGGGTAATTTTCGTACAGTATTTTTCACGCACCAGTGGTGAAAGTATAAGACTTAAATATTCGCTATCGCGGATCGAAATCTCGGGTCCACGTCTACCACCTCACCCGGGGTCTAATAAAGCTGGTAGGCAATGCTGAACTGATCAGATGCTGGTTATTTCATAAATAGTAGTTCCTTACATATCATTTTTCGTACCTATAACGATCGTTTCAAACAATAGTGACTTCTCACATATCATTTATACATACCTATGCCCACCACTTCACCCAGGGTATAATAAATTGGGAAGGCGATGCCCAACTGGTCAGATCCCGGTCTGTCTAAATCAGACATGGGCAAAGTACGGCCCGCGGGCCACATCCGACCCGTTGCGGTATTCAATCCGGCCCGCCTCAAAGCTGTCACAACCAATCTAAAATCAAATTTTGCTGTTTTAGCAAAGAATAACCCAAGGAATTTGTTGAGACTGTAATCAAATTTAGTTTTGGCACGAGGCTTCTCGTTTTCAACTTTTGCTTTTGTAACACTGTTAATATTGTTCATAAAATGTAACTTTTTACTTCATACTTACATGGCCCGCCTGTCTAGATGGGCAAAATTTTTAACCCCCGGACCGAAAACCTTGCCCACCCCTGGTCTAATTAATAGTATCTCATTATATATCATTTAACGTGCCGATAGTAAGTTTTATATATTATTTATACACACCTAGGCTCACCCCCTCACCATGGTGTGATAACTTGACTAGGAGATGCCTAACTAATACGTTTCTGGTTAAAATTCAGGGGTGGGCCATTACTTTCCAGAGTGGGCCGGATGCGGATAACAGACTTGGTTACTGGGTCGGATGATCAAAATTTAGTATGATCAGAAACGGTTATTTGCAAATACCTAGAGTCCTAGACACAATGATCAATGGGCCAGGAGATGGCAATACAGGAGATGGCAAATTACGGCAGCAGCGCAAAATGCTGATTTGTCAAGAGCTGGCGTTTTTGAATTATTGTACAGAAATTATTCAGATGGTTTTATGTTTATATTCAGGGCTAATAGTACGTGTGGAATTACAATATTTACATTTGCGGACGATTTGTTGTTTCTCCGATTTCTTCAACGATAATTTTTATGCATGAAAACTATAGCCTAATTTCAGCACGAACAAGTGGGCCGGATAAAACACTAAAGTGGGCCGGATCCGGCCCGCGGGCCGTAATTTGCCCACCCCTGGGTTATATCATATAAACATATAGCACACCTATTCTTTGCACAAACTTTCTGTTTAGTGATTGTCACTGAATATTTCACAGCATGGTGATTTTAATGGCTCTTCAGAAGTGTATGTACCGGTGATCGTACATTTGAACCCATGTGAATATCCGCGGGTTCAATCTATATGCGGGTGCTAAAACCCATGGGTTAGGGTTAGTATGGGTTCAAATATCCGTAAAACAAAAAAAATCCATAGGTTCAATAGTATGCAGGTGCAATTGTCGTGAGTTCAAATGTACGGGAACCGTATGTATCATATGGAAGTAAGGAGTTTTGTTCACCTACTTCAAGTTGTGTGGGGGACGGAAGCCTATGGGCATATTTGATTTCAATTTTCCTTATTTTAGTTCTATTACGAGTTCGGGGACTAGCCGAGTGACTCCCGTAGTATTTGTACCCAAAAATATGGCTTAATCCTAACCTGGTACACATACTACGTTCCGGTTCCCGCCATCTTGGTTCACATTCTATGGGAGTACCCAAAATTGAATTAAAAACTCATTTCGCTGGCCACACATCCTTTTTAAATTGGCAATTCTCCGCGGGTCGCACATTATTTCCTTGTGGGCGCTGGTTGCAGGTTGCAGGTTGCATATCCTGCACTACAGGATCCACAAGCGCAAGTGAACTACACCTCGGCTGAGTGAAACATCTGTCCTCCCTTTACCTTTCATTTAGAAAATTAGTTTTCTGATTAGGATTGCTTATCTAATGTGTGCTCAACCTCCCATAAATATATTTGCTAATGCGATAACTCCATCCGATGTTAATAAAGCGTTGCCTTATCGTAAAGAAACTAAAATTACAGTTATTTTCACGGCATTACACTGTAAAAATGTTTCTCGTTTGCATAAGAAAGGCCATATTTCCCGGCATTTCGCCACTTCGCGCAGAAGCGTTTGATCTAACTATGTAATTCAGGATGTAATAAATTGGACTCATAATGGCGAACCGAAAAATTACATTGGCTGAAAAATAAAATGCTAGCAAATAACGCCATACCAAACAGTATCTGCATGGTAAACTTTATCTGGGCATGTGTTAAAACGCCCCTCAAAACGCATTAATTGTATGTTTTTCTCATAATTATAAAAAAATGTTAGTCTGAGAAATTCTCTCTTTCTGGGGACCCCTCGTTCCGATATTTACTAATATGATAAGTACACACGACGTTAATAAAATAGAATTCATCTAATAAAACTAAAATGTTACAGTTATTCACAATGGCATTACACTGTTGGCGTTTCTCTAGTTTGCACAAGAAAAGAATCAGGTGCGGCGCGTTAACGTTTGATCTATTCATGTAGGTCCGAGTGTAATAAATAGGACATAAAATGGCGAACAAGAAGATACATTCGCTTAAAAAAATGGGTGCTATTAGCTTAATACATAATAGGGTGCTCCCGAAGTATGTGTACCAAGATGGCGCACAATCTGAACATAGTATGTATACCAGGACAGGGTTCAGGTTGTGCGTCATCTTGGTGAACATACTTCCGGGGCGTCCCAAATAGTATCTGCTTTTACAGGGCCAACAAATTGGTTTAAAAACACGAATACTTTCATTTTTTCTTCTAAATATTTAATATTGTTTGTCTGGGGTATTCTTTCTGCCCTTTGGCCACACCATTATGATATTTGCTTGTGATAATTCCATCCGATGTTAATTAAATATGCGTTATCTAATAAAACTAAAATGTTAGTAGTTTTTAGTGAAATTTCGTGGTTAACCGCGGCTTTTGTTTTCATTTGAAATTTGCCATGCCTCTGATCATTTTAAATCCTATGGCATTGACCTCATGACACAAAACAGGGCATATAACACGCGTGTATGTAACTACTTTTGAAAAAACTGCATTCTGGGCATAATTACTCAATTAGATATTTATATTCATCACCTATCACTTGAACCAACATGAAATGGCGTCGTATAACGAGTACAACAATCATTGTACACATAATCACACCCCAGGGATTCACTATATTTCTTAATGCCTCACACCATTACGCTACAATCGGGTATGTTTCCATATAGTGAGTTTGTTCTGGCTTTCAAAGATGTGCCTGTTTTAGTTTTGACTAGATTGTGCTTTATGTCCATTTTTAGGTTTGGCTGTTAGATCTAAAAATTTACAAAAATGAAATTTTTTCATATCCTCAAAATGTGACATAAGCTAATTTGGATATACTGTTGCCATATCATTCGCTTTACTTTGCGAAACGTCCACCTATTGCCGCCATTATATTGATGAATTTCGGGCAAATGGACTTTTCAGCAGTTATGCAATCAGTAAGGCCTTGTTTGTTTAACAAGTCTAATAACCAATTTTTTACTATCAGGTGAGGAAATTTCTCATAGGTTGAACGAATAAAATTTCGCCCTGGCGTCTGACTCCGAGGCAGCGATGTTTAGACAGTACTCCTTATATTTGATAGAATTCCTCATTGCAGGAGTAATTCAAAATAGCCTCGTTTAAAAAAACTACAACAATATGCAATTTGAAACCCTTCATTTTCAACTTTGACGAATTTATTTTTTAAAATGATGTAACTTACTGTTAAACTGTTAGTATTTCTGAAGGATTCTTATATTTCTAATTGCCAAGTTAGATCGGCCGAGGGTGGGAAAACGTAGGTTTCAAGAGTCTTGAAAAAAGCGTTTCAAGCTTCGAGAATGTTTTCTACCCTCCCCCCTTTTTTGCGAGTCTAAACGAGTCGAAGATTATCAATACAACTCCCGACGCCATATTTATATTAATTTACAAGACCCATTAACGAATTTTTACTTAGATCTTTTGTACAAAGCCCCCGTAAACGCTCAAAATAAGAAAATTAGTAAGTATCCATTTGGAGTTCGGATTAGGAAAGCAGATTGCGGTGGAAATTCAAATTTTCAAATCATTCCTAACCCGAACCCTAACCCCAACCGGATAATTACTGAATTGTTATTTAAAATCGTGGCGGTGTATTTTTCCAAAAAACACATTTTTTGCATTAGTGACGGGTGCTTTGTACAAAAGAACCAAAATTGCAACTACGAATACAAAGATTTAGAAATTCCGAATACCAATCCTACCTAATTATTAAAGTCTACGCTTCTACTAATCACACTGTCACTTAAACATTTACGCCAGTAGTCGTTACTCATTGCCTATAAGAAACGTTCGCATTTAGCCTCAATTAAATCGCTGATCTGCGGTAATACAAGTTCTTATAGTGATGCTGACTCTCACAATTTGCCTGTATTATTGAAATAATGTGGCTGGCTGTCTATTTAGCGACGTAATATCTATTTCCTATCTATTAGAAGGGCATTCGCATGGCGATTGCGCCATTTGACCATCCGTATTCCTAATTTGCTGTCTATATGGCAGTCCAAGAGCTGTCTTCAAAGAAGGCCATTTATCCACCAATATTCCTAACCCGCTTTCGGAATGGCCTCTACGGAAGAGGTTATTTAAATCGTGTTTCGGACCTCATATTTACCCCTATTTTCAAGTTACTACTTTTATGACAGCACAACAGCCATACAGAATTGCTATTTTACTCCAACCCTAAACTATAAAAGTGGAAAGAACACTGATATGGAAGATAAGCGAAAACTAACTCGTTAAATGTGACACCAACCGTTTGCCAAATATGTTACCCTTATATACGTCTCAAAAAGCATTAAAATATAGTCGGATCATATTT